TGATGCTGCAGGGACACGAACTCTAAACAAAATGGTATAGGCTACAATGTTCTGTTCTGTCTTCAGTTACTGAAAACCTACTTTAAAAAATAGATGGAAGGATGACGCCTCAGTGGCTCAGTCAGTGAAGCGTCTGCCTTCGGTGCAGGTGGTGACCCCAGGGTCCTGGGATCGAGCCCCACGTCGAGGGTGGGGAGGGTCCTTGCTCAGCAGGGAGCCTGCTTCTCCCTCCCCTTCACTTGTTCTTTGTCTCTCATATAAAATCTTAGAAACAAACGGAAACTAGACTGCTCCCCTCTGCAGCAGGTACTCTGCGTTTGAGCTCAGTGGCATCTGCGTCCAGACTGTGTCATCCCAGCTTATTCTGCATGACACGATCCACGTCCATCTCCCGGCACAGGCCGCGCTGAGCTGAGACAGGCAGTCGGATACCTGACGCCGTCTGGGACCGTGTGCGCCCAGACAGGAGCAGAGTGAGACACTGGATGCTGGGAGCCACGTGTCTGCTGCGTGTGGTCATCCCAGCAGGTGCCTGGGTAGCAGAACTCGTCCTTTTCCAGGGAAAGAAGCAGCATGGAAGCTGTGGCTTTTAAGTTTCACGGGACAAGTCCTGGGGAACTGGGTGCACCCATGCCCGAGGGACACAGAAAATCACTCCTGACATCTCACTTTGCCACAATCTTGCCAGGAAACAGGCCTATTTGTATAGTTCCTGTTCTAGGATGGAAAAAGCAAGACCCTGGCACTCGTCTCTCCCAGATCCAAAGTTCCAGAAATCAAGGCTCAGTGGCAGGATGGCCATCAAGATTCCTGCAGAAACCACATAGACTGGCAGGGGCCGGGGTGCTGAAAAGGGAAGCTGCCCTGAGACGCAGGAAGTGCAGACAGCTGGGGCGACCATGACTGCTGCAGAGGAGGGGCTCCCTGTGGGAGCCGCAAAAACCCAGCTCCGCGGTCAGGACCTGGAAGATCCAGCATGCCCGTGTTCTCCCTGAATGCGTGAAACCCCTCGAAACCTTGATTTTCTGCTACAACCCCAGTGACCAGTGGCTCCTTTGCGGTCCTGCTTCTGGCCCTGTGCTCTGCTTTGCCTCAGCTTTTCTCAGGCCCAGAGTGAAAAGGGGCCCCAGGCCGTGCCTTCGTTTGCTGTTCATGTTCCCCCCTGAGCCAGCAAGAACACTTGGCCATGACCTTGGAGCAGACCCCAACAGTCCGTTAGTCAGTCGAACAACAAGTGCGACACTCCGGCCTGGGAAACCTTGGGCGACAGGCACGCAAGAGGCTGATTCAGCAGTCCGGCCGTGAGGCCTCAGCTGTGGGAACGCAGGGGGCTGAACCGAGACCTGGGGGTTCACAAAGGCTTCCCCAGGTAAGGCAGGAAAGGGGAAGAGAATATGCCAAGATCCAGTCCGAGGAACAGGACTGAGTGCGGCACAACACCAAGGAACGCCGTGGCACCTGTGGCGTCATCAGGGTCCCGAGGGAAGCTGGCTGGGAGGCTTGTGCGGCGGGGGGCCGGGGCTCGTGTCTGAAAGGGGAAGGGGCGTCAAGTGTGGAAGGTGAACGATTAGCAAGGAACCTCTGAGTTGAACAGAAGGAACATCGCGACACAAACCCGGGGGGGGGGGGCGAAGTGGACCCTGATGGGGGGGCGGGGGGGGCCCGGCTGGGGGTTCGGGGGGGGGGGGGCGGGCTGGGACTCTGCCCTGCACTTGGCGTCTACAGCCCGGCCCCTGCTCCCTGCCAACACGGAGTAAACTCCCCACTGCGGGGGCCCTGCCTCCTCCTCCCCAACCAGCGCCCCCAGGGCAACCTTCCCCACTACAGGGTCTTCCGGGAACGCAGCTCCACAAACTGTGCATCGGGCGCCCGCCATGGGCACCTGAGTGCGGGCTGGGGCCAGGCGCCCCTGCAGCCCCTGCAGCCACACCTGCCCCCCAGCCACGCCCCCCAGCCGCGCCCCTGCAGCACCTCCCACCCCCAGCCACATCTGCCCCCAGCCACGCCCCCGGAGCCACACCTGCCCCAGCCACGCCCCGCAGCACCTCCCGCCCCCCAGCCGTGCCCCCGCAGCACCTCCCACCCCCAGCCACACCTGCCCCCAGCCACGCCCCGCAGCACCTCCCACCCCCAGCCGTGCCCCCGCAGCACCTCCCACCCCCAGCCACGCCCCCACAGCCACGCCTGCCCCCAGCTCCGCCAGGACAGGTTTTAAGCCCCATCACAGGAACTTACGCGGATCCTGTCAAACTTCACTTGGTTGGTTTTGGTTCTTTCTCTCAATCTACCGAAAGGCAACTTGGAGTTCTACTTTGTCGTAGGACACGCTGTCCCCAGGGCTACACTTTACATAATTCCAGTGACTCTCAATTAAGAAACGAGCAAACTGGGGTGCCTGTGGGGGGGGCGGGGGTTAAGGCCTCTGCCTTGGGCTTGGGTCATGATCCCGGGGTCCATATCGGGCTCTCTGCTGGGCGGGGAGCCTGCTTCCTCCTCCCCCCCCCTTCCGCCTGCTTCTCTGCCTACTCGTGACCTCTCTTTGTCAAATTAATAAAAAAAAGTCTTAAAAAAGAAAAAGAAAAAGAAACGAGCGAACCCTGGGACACGGGATCTCAGCACCCAGTCCCCACGCCTCAACAGGCTGGTGCAGTGCCAGGAGGCCCCGGACCACACGGGGCAACTAGAGCCCTATTCCCTCGAGAGCTCAGATGTGACCCGTTTAGCTGCGGTGCCCTGAACTTGCTTTTTGACAAATACTTTTTATTTTTTGAAAAATCCCATGGATCACAAACTCCTGAACAGAAAAGATGCCATAAAAAAGCAGATTTCCAATTCTCCTGATAGGACCCAGAAGGCCACGATGGCAGAGACTGAGGAACTCCTGCTGGAGATCAGGGCGCTTCCAGAGATGGACAAAGCTGTCCCCGAGGCCCCCCTCCCACAGAAGCCTGTCACCTTTTCTCCCCATTAGGTGTTTCAGTCGCTTAACGGTCCATCATTTTCAGGCGCTCTCCTGCTACTCGGTCCTTTCTAGGATCTCCAGTCGCTCCGCAGCAGGTGGGAGGGTGGGGCTGTGGCCGCGGCCCGGAGCCCCCGTGCAGACCACCAGCTTCTTGTGAAGAGGAAACGGCCGAGACCAGCCAGAGGAAGGGCTGGGGAGGGCGCCGGGCAGCCACGCCCGCTCCCCAAACCTCTACACACACACCAACCCCGAACTCTGTGAACACACGTCAAGTAACGGGAACTCCAAGTCCTCTTAAAAGCATCAGAGGTGAGGGCCTCCTGGGGGGCTCAGTGGGTGCAGCGTCTGCCTTCGGCTGAGGTCATGATCCCGGGGTCCTGGGGTCAAGCCCCGACTCAGCGGGAAGCCTGCTCCTCCCTCTGCCTCTGCTCTTGCACTCACGCTCTGTCGAGTAAGTGAGTGTTTTGAAACAACCGTGCAGAGGGCTGCATGCCAGCTACGTCCCAGTCCCTGCCCACCCCGTAAACCCGGTCCACGTGGCGCACTGCACCTGACAGGAAGTGCAGAGGCGGCCCTGCTGTCGTGCTCCCTGGCCCTCAAGAACACAAGTGCTGGCACTGCAGGGTTAGGGTCTGTCCCTGGAGGACGTGTCCCTGGAGGATGTGTCTGTGGAGGGCCAGTCCATGGAGGACACCACCACAGGAGATGGAGGTCGTGGAGGGCTCGACACCGCCATGGGCTGCTCCTGGCCTGGAAGCTCTATTCCTTCTGTCTCTGCTCCAGCCCCGGCCCCCGACCCCGCGCACATGCTGCACTGACAGGGGACAAGGAAGAGTGTGGAGCTCGGCTTCCCACGTCTGAAAACACACCTTCCAGCCACCAGTGACTTTTCAACAGAACTGAGCCTGAGCATGAGAGGGAAGAGAAAGACCACGCCAGCGCCCTGTGCCCCCTACCCTCCCTGTCCCCAGTTCTGAGATGCAGCAATGCCACCCTGACGTGTGCGCCACACAACTCACGACCTCACGATCCCGCTGGCCCCGGGGCCCGGGCACTTTGGGCAGCGTGGACGCACAGCGGCCATCAGGAAGCAGGCTGCTGGGTGCCGCAGGGTCCTGGGTTAGTTTCTGATGCGCCGTGTTTGCGATGTTTTAACATCCTGGGGGCCTTGTTGGTGGGAGATGCTGCCCCCGCCCTCCCAGGGCGAACTCCCAGGGACAGTGAACAGCTGACCCCAGAGGTCACCTTGGTATGCGCGAACCCACCAACGGAGCCCACACTCCAGCCACCTCCTTTACCTGGTTCTTGCACACAAGAGAGCACTTCCTCTGCCCCGCGTCCCCCAGGCCCAGCACCCACCCCCACAGCCCAGAGCCTGCTGACGCTACGCTCCCCAGCCCACTCACTCCTGCAGAAGCCCTGGCTTCTCTCTGCGTCCTGACCGGGCCTGGGGCTTCCCCGAGGAGCCCTGCGCGGTGCGGCACGTCTCCACCCCCAGGAAACACTGTGCGCAGCCCACTCTCCTCTCCAGGCAGCCGTCTCGAGGTCTGTCGCCCAGCACACCTGACTAGAGCCGAGCACACGTATTCTCAGACAGGTGCAGCCTTCCTCTGCACGTTTCTTCTCAGGTCAGAACAGGAGCCAAGTCAGCAAGTGCACTCCCGAGTGAAATGCTCGCTACACGTGCCGCGGGACAGGTGGGCTCACGAAAAGCCCACCCCTATACCACCATGCCCAGCGCTTCTGAGGTGGTCCTGCCTGTGACCTGTGATGTATCCCTTCCACGGAGCCACTCTGCGGGCAAAGCCAGCACTTCCCGGGGCCACCTGCCTGCACATGGTGCGCGGGCGGTGTGCCCGGATGGCTGGGGGACCGCACGGCTAGGGGGATGGCACAGAAGTGCAAGTTGTGCTCCCTAAGCAGCCAAGCCACCAGCGCCCTTGCCCCGTCGCACTCCGAGTCTGCGAGCTCCGGGGACACCCCATCAGCATCGGACACTGAGGACACCTGGGAAAGGGAGGAGCCCCACACTCAGAAGGTCAGACTCGGTAAGGATTTATTCTACGTCCTTCCGACAGCACACATCTGACAGGGCATGCCACGGAGCTCTTGCCCCGGGGAAACTGGACGTGGGGCCATCCTTCAGCAGACTGACCGTGAGGACAGTGTTTGGGGCGCGAGCAGACACCCGTGCAAACACGGTGACGATGCTTGGCCGTCCCAACCACGAACCCGTGTGTGGGGGCTGCACAACAGCCTCGAGTCCCCATGAGTCCCTCGCACACCCGCGCAGGGTGTGCACGTGCGGGCACTCGTGGGGAGGACTGACGGCGGCCCGCGTGCTGACGGACTGTCCCACGCTTCCCACGGCCACCGCCCTTCTCGATGCAAGGTCCAAGTGCACCTGTGTTGGGGGCAGCACAGCCCCTGAGGAGCCCTGGGTTCCGTCAGCACAGCTGACACTCAGGACCCACCCCCTCCCCACCTCCCGCTCTCTGCCCCTGGCCGCCGCCTGCCCTGCCGCTTGGGGCTGCTGTCCGCACCCCGGGGACCCCCCAGGTCAGGGCTGGGGTTGCCGCCCGCCGCCCCCAGCAGGTGATTCCCGGGACAGAGGTCCCCATCTGCACAGGGTGCGGCTGCCACCTTCCCCTCTCTCATCTCCGCCGCCAGATCAGCCGTCGTCCTCGGCTCCTCGGGACTCATGGTCCTGTGCCCTTGCTTCCTCTTGTACTCCATGATTTGTTTGTTGAGTGCCTCATGATCGACCCCACACAGACTTGAGCATGTGGCAGAGGTCGGGGTGCCTCGCGGAGCAGGAGCGTCCCGGGCCCCGGGGCCGCTGGAGGGAGAAGAGGCACCCGGTGAAGCAGGAGAGGCAGCAGGACCACGAGGGCCTAGGGCCACTGCTCCTGCCCGTCCCCCTCCACTTGCCAGTGGGCTGCCCACATCCGAGGAAGCTCCCCAGCCCAGTGCCCCTCTGCTGGTGCTGCCGGAGCCCGCAGGTGGGCAGGCCCGCACCGTCCACGCAGCCCTTCCGTGAGATGGGTCTTCCATCTCCTCCCCCAGTTAACCCCGGCGAGTGTGCTGGGCCAGTTTCACAGAATTACCGCTGCGGCCCTTTTAGATCTACCATGCCGCCTCCCCGAGAAACTAAAGGAAAATATCTGACCTGGTATGACCCTCTCAAAACCCAAATTTGGCCAAGTCATGCCTCTCACCCCTTTCCTGATCAGCTCTAGAAGGTCTCACCCCCACGGGCTGGGCTCCCCATGGCTTGGGGCCTTCACTTCTGCTCCATGCTCCTGAGGCTGGAGACTGGGAGCGCCACCCGAGGTCCTGACAGGGCCCCAGACGCGGAGGCACCCGGTGTTAAGGAGCAGAGGCTGAGCGCCGGCTGGAGCTCTTCGCTCGCCTGCGACGGCCCCCAACTCGATCGTCAGTCACGTCTCTTCTCAGACCGTGAGGGCCTGACTGAAAACCAACATTGCCCCCACCCACCCGCCCACCGATCCGCCAACCAGACCTTCCAGACCCACGACCGTCTGTGGCTCCCTGGAGGCCTCGCTCAGCAGAATGCGAGCTCCGAAGAGCCCACTACGTGTTCTGTTCCCGGACCCTGGGTGCTAGGACAGGACATAGCGCACCCAAGAAAACCGTGCTGAGTGGACAGAGAGGCTGAGGGAGGGACAGCTGCCCTCCCTTGATGAGTCGCTGCGGCAACCACAAAGGCCTTCCCAGCCACCATGCTGAGGTGCCAGCAGCTGCTGCTACTGGGAACGGCCACAGGCCTCTGACAGGCTGGGGGCCCGGGCAGGGTCGGAGGGCATAACGCACCTGCCACAGCAACCAGCAGCCCCACACCCGGATATCTATCCGAAGAACCAAAGTCACGTCCCCACGTACCCGATGTCCTCTTGTACAGAGTCTTCTTTCTCATCCCGGGGTCCCAGATCGGCCACAGCCAGCAACTGCTCAACCTGAGGAGGACGGACAGAGGGTGAGCCGGTGAGCCACACCGCCCCGCCCCGGGCATCAGAGCCCGGCTCTGGTGGGCCGTGTGCAGCCGCGCCGTGCCGACTCGGACCCGGGCCTCGGCCGACACCTCCCGGCAATGGTGCTTTCAAACATCGGCCACGTACAGTCACGTGTTCTCTGATGACCAACAGGTGCCTTCTTCAAACGGCACTTAAAGCCTGCGATCGTCGGACTTGTGAAAAAGTCAGGTAAGCGTTAGTGCGCTCAAATGCCTAATTCCTAAGGAAGCGCAGAATAGTTCGATTTTGCCACGGAATCTGTGTTTGCGGAAAGCAAGCCTCCCAGCCCAGCGACAAAGTCACAGTCACGTGACTCCCAGATCCACGGTGGCCGAGGGGACTCAGAGGAAATGAAAGCTCTCCTCAGTGGGGGCAGCGCACAGAGCCCGGCTCCCTGGACACAGAGGGCAGCTCACCCCCTCACCTGCCACCCTGCATGCCCAGGACATGCGCCCGAGACCCCAGCCTGCGGCGCGGCACGCCCAGGAGAGCCGGGGTCCGGGACCAGGGCCCGCCATTCCACAGCAGCACAAAGCGCCATCACAAACTGAGGACCAATAAAAACCACAAATGTGAAAAAGCAGAACCAGGAGAAAATGTCAGTCCACAGAAAAGACCAAACACAGGTCCAACAAAGCCACAAAACGAGCACTAACTGACATCTCCTGGGCTACTGCTCGCACCTGCCAAGGGACCTGTGCTGGACACACGGGCATTCTGCACAACTCCACACGGCGTACCTTCAAGATCGGGCCAAGGCCTGGAACAGACTTCACAAAACAAAGAACAGCCGCCAGGCGCATGGCAAGATACTCCCCAGTCCGAGTCGTCACACACACGCACGTGTGGACGCCAGAGGGGCCACCACAAACGCAGCAAGACTCCTGATGTCCAGCGGGAGCTCGCGGTGGCCCAGACAGTTCCGTCCAACCCACAGCTCCGGAAAGTCAGACACGCCCGCCGCTTCTACACACTGACCTAAACACGCAACGATGAATGCTGTGTACACACGGTTCCCAACACCTTTACTCACCATTGCCAAAGACCAGACGAGACCAAGGTCCACGAAAAGTGAACGGGTCACTTAGCAGGAGGGAACCACTTACACGTGAACGACGCGACTCTCAGAAACAGCAATAAAGCCCAATGTCTGCCTCTGTCTGCAAAGCTCCAGGAATCTGAACAGGAGAAACCACCTGACAGCCGCTGGCTGGGGGGCCCCGCGGGCAGGGGTGTGGGGGCAGGGGCGGGGCAGGGCACAAAGGCACGCGGCCGCCATCCCTGCCGCCATCCCTGCACATGGCCTGGAAATCAGGCGTCACTAAAGCTTCTCTTTGAAGCCTTTACCCAGCACTCCATGTGAAAGCAACCAAATCCCGACGTGTCCCCTCAGGCTGCGGGGACGGGAGGCTCCGTGCCGACCTCTGAGACAGGACATGGGCTGCTGGTACGCCCTCTCCAGGGAAGGCTCAGGCGCGACTGAACAGGAGCTGGCAGCCCGCGTGGGCTCTCCTGACGCCTGCTTCTCAAGCCGGAACACAAGCAAACGTGTAATAAATCACAAAGCCACTATCGGGAGTTTACGCGTTTCAAGATTTTACGTTCTTCCCTTTAAAATCATGCTAAGATCAACCTTTTTTCTTTTTTAAGATTTTTTATTTGACAAACAGAGATCGCGAGTAGTCAGAGAGGCAGGCAGAGAGAGAGGAGGGGAAGCAGAGAGCTGAGCAGAGAGCCTGATGTGGGGCTTGATCCCAGGACCCTGAGATCACGACCTGAGCCGAAGGCAGAGGCTTAACCCACTGAGCCACCCAGGCGCCCTAAGAACCTTTTGAAAACCCTGATTGGAATGGAAGACACGAGGAAGGACACCAGTCGTTTCGTGCAGAGCCCAGTGACGCTTCACCAGTGGACTGCACCCCCGAGCGTCCCCAGCGTTCCAGAGACAAACCCCAGGAGCCTCTTCACGTCCCTTCCACTCACTCCCTTCCCCAGACGCGGCCACCAGTTTGACTCCCGTCACCAGAGAGGAGCCACACTTGGCTCAACATCCCGGAAACAGAACTGCAGGGAACGTGGCCTCTTCTCTGGCTCTGCATCACCTGCGCGGTGAGGGGAGCTCGTCCGCCCACCCACCTGTGCCCGGGGATCTGACCCATACCCAGGGGTTCCGACGCGTACCCGGGGATCTAACCTGTACCAGGGAGCCTGACGCATACCCGGGGCTCTGACTCAGGGACCCTGGCCGCCGGCACCCTGGGTGCGTCTCTGGGGCACACAATCAGTTTAAGTGGCAGCCTGAGCGTGCCCTCGGCTCCCGCTGCTAGCGGCTCGGCCCACAGCACGGAGAGGGTCCCGCGGCGTCTCTCTGGCCTGCTCTGTCTGCTCACTAGTGGAAACCCCCTGGGGGAAGGGCGAGCCCAGCATCTGTGAGGTTTTCTGTGCCGCTGGGCACCGCTTCGTGTGCTTACCAGCACCGACACCGGCACCGACACCGGCACCGCTGAGGGCACTTGGGGCAGAGCTCATTCCTGCTCTTCTCCCGAGTGTTCCAAGGTGGCAGAGTAAGCTGCCGCAACCACGGCCAGCCCCCCGCGCCTACAACCACCGGCAACTTTTCAACATGTGCAACCAACACGAGACAGAAGTAAGCGGACGGGCACAGAACTCCAAGTTTCATCCGATACCCCCATTCCAATGGCGCGTGTCTATCCAAACTTCTTTACTACGGGCTGACTTTAACCCCAATTTCAAAACACGCTGCCCTGCCTTATGCAGGAGCCGATCATGACTGTGCCCTCAGTGAACCGCCTGCCCCAGTCGGAGGCCCCCCACGCCCCTGGTCCAGCCTCTGCTTCTGACTACAGAACACAGACACCTGAGGACAAGACGAGCAGAAGCCCGCCTAACCTTCTCTGACCCCAGCACAGCGAGGACACGGGAGGACAGGCGCTGGGCAGGCCCAGGTGGCAAACAGCCCACAGCACACTCTCTAGGGACAGAACGGCTCTGGGGTGCTCTGAGCACTCCCTGCACCTCCCTCCTTCCAACGACTTTTTCTACAAAGGGGCCCACAGAGCCAGACAGGCCCTACCCCCCCAGAGAGGGACCAGCCATGAGGGAGAGAACTCTCCTCGTCGCTGAGAGGTACCGCCTTTTGCCAGCTCCACCAACCGTGCCTGGGTGAGTCCCGTGCACGTATGGACCCAGCGCACCCCACAACCTGGATCCTGCCCGGCTCTCTGAAGCTGGCGCTGGCCACATCACTCTTCTCGTGAGCAAAACCATGCCTCTGTCAAGGTCTTAACTTGTACAGTACCTTCAGTATTGGTTAAATAACGAATAACAAAAAATGAAAACATCCAGTTAGATTTGTTTTCCTCTGTGGATCTAAATACCACCTGGTCCTGGGGCACCTGCGCACCTGACCCTCCGTTTCGGCTCAGGTCGTCATCTTGGGGTCATGGGACTGAGCCCCGTGTCAGGCTCCGCGTTCAGCGGGCAGCCTGCTTAGGATTGTCTCTCTCCCTCACCCCTGTCCCTCCCCACCCCAGCTCACATGCACCTGCCCTTTCTCTCAAATAAATCTTTGAACTAAATAAAAAAGTAAAAACAAAGAAAAAGACACTGTTTAGTCCTGTGGTGAGTAACCGCTACCTGGCCATACCATCATGACTGCTACTGACTGGGGTTTTCGTAAATTTTTTAAAAGTATAACACGCCTTAGTAACTACCCAGTAACTACCACCCAGAAAGAAAGCACATGTAACCTTACAGCCTGTAACCTTCGTAATTAACTTACAGTTAACAGAATGTAAATTCAGTGTAAGTAACATAGCTCAGATCCGGAAAGAAAGGCAGTTTGTAAGTCAAGAAGCTGACACTTGGCTTCCTAGCTAGAGATTTAGTGGTAAACATTAAAGACCAGGAGGAGTGGTTACCGCTGCGGAGTCCGGCTGGGACAGGAGCCTGGGAGCCTCACTTTCCACTTAGACTCTTGGAGACTCATCACCCCTTGTAACTACACCACTGATCGTTCCAGCATTTGAAGATGAACCACATCATCTGACTCGTCGGGTCAGCCTGTGACTCGCAGGGAGTTTCTCAGAGCCATACCTCTGCCAGAGCCGCGTTTCCTTTGTCCCGAATGAACACAACTGGCGGCACGTTCCTCAGGGTCTGCTGGGACATCAACAGGTGCCTGGAGAGAGACGGTGCAAATGGCGTAGTTTAGCAGACAAGAAAATACACGTTCATCCCGTGGAATGAAACAAGGGATCTGCTATCACGTTATTCAAACCCGAAGACGTCAGCACAAGACGGTCTTCCTTCGCCCACTGCCACACCACACCAGGAATACGGAACACATCATAACTGCTTCCCTGCCCAAACGCAACTCCTGAGAGCCTTACGAGCACCCGATGGCGGCCTGGATGCCTCCTGGGCATCGCAGTGGCCATGGGCTGTGTGGTCTGGGCGCGAACAGCTGGCCCAGGCCTCATTCCTCCGCTCGGTGGACATTCCCTGGCAACAAGGCCAAGAAGTGCGCCAAGGACCTCAGGCTCCGAGGGGGACGCACAGCCCCGCGTGCATGGCCGCGAAGCAGAATTAGCACCCGGTGAGGACACTGCTGGGACAGCCTCTCTGCAGTGACAACAGGTCCTGGGACGCAATTATAGCCAAGCCTTGAGTCTAAACCTCAGCTCAGCACAAGAGCCGGGAAAAGGGATGGTCTGTTCAGCTGGGTTTTCTGACGACCTAAAACTAATCAGAAAATAATACTGTTTTCGCCAACACTTGTTGGAAATCTTTCTCCCGTTACTGTTAACAAAGAAAAAAATCAAATGAGCGCTCTTTGATGTAAGAGACTCCTCGGGCCTCCTGAGACAGACGTCAGGAGAACTGAAGCAGACAGTATGTAAAAGAACACTGGTTCCACACAGGACTCATCCCCTTCTCTGACAAACGGAGTACGATGGACAAGGGAGAGGTGAGAGGGGCAGAGAAAGGAGGGAAGCAGGGGGAAGAGCAGCAGTTCTGAGAGTGCTGGTTGGTTAGGTTTGTGCATTTCCTCAAACTGAGGAGGAAACAGAGTAACCCTTTACTACCGCCCAGCTCCGCAGTTCTCCAGACCTTTGGTCTCAAGACTTCTTCATACCGTTAAAGATCACCAAGGACAGCAAGGAGTTTCTGTCAACGTGCGTTGTATCTGTCCACGTCTAGCACACTATAAACTGAAACTCAGAATTTGAGGGATGCCTGGGTGGCTCAGTGGGTTAAGCCGCTGCCTTCGGCTCAGGGTCCTGGGATCGAGCCCCACATCAGGCTCCCTGCTCGGCAGGGAGCCTGCTTCTCTCTCTCTGCTTCTGCCTGCCTCTCTGCCTGCTTGTGTGTGCTCGCTCACTCTCGCCAACAAATAAATAGAAACAAACAAAAAACTCAGAATTTGAAAAATATACATTAGTTCGTTTCAATAACAAGCTTACTAAGTGTTCACATGGATTTTTTAAAAAGATTTTATTTATTTATTTGTCAGAGAGAGAGAGCACACACAAGCAGACAGAGCGGCAGCAGAGGCAGAGAGAGGAGCAGGCTCCCTGCCGAGCAAGGAGCCCGACGCGGGACTCGATCCCGGGACCCTGGGATCATGACCTGAGCCGCAGCGGCTCAACCAACTGAGCCTCCCAGGCATCCCTCAAATAAGTAACTCTTAAAAAAAAGGGGGAGGGGACTTGAATTTTATCACTGGAGACAAAACAGTCCATTGTTTTCCCTGAAGTGACAGTTTCACTTTGCTCATTTTAGAGGAAACGTCCGCCAACTGCCCACATCTGAAACCGCGCAGCGAGCTCACTTGTTCCCTCCAGCGAACGAGCGTCTGCTTCAGCTCGCGGCAACTGCGCCTTTTCCCGAGGTGACTGTGCCATGCCAGCAAAGGCTAGCTGGTGCTCACTCTCCGTGACACAGGACACTGAGATGACACGTGCCCAAGGGTCAGGACGGAATGAATTCAGTCACTTCTGCTTATTCTCCAAGGATGTCCTTGCGAAAAACTGCGCTGCTTCTCCCTGCGAGCAGGTGGCAGGAAGCTACAAGGACCAGGGGGACATCGGCGGCCGGGCGCCCCTAGCGTCTGGGCCCACACCTTGAGAACCACCGTCCTAGGTTATGTCCCACGTGAAAATGTAAATTACACTTGGAAATTCAAGATAACGCTTCCCAGAGTTTGCTCAAAAGCGAAAAGACTCGGGCACCACGGGGAGACTGGAGAGACAAGCAGAAGCCAGCGGGCTGAGGACAGGGCGTCTCACCTCACGTGGGTGGCGCTCCTCTGCAGGACGGCCTCCGTGCTTGTGTTCCGCTCGGCGGAAACCTCGGTCCTCCAGTACACGCGGCAGGCAGAGAAGTCTGCAGTCAGAGACACCTGAGCCCCCCCCCCACCGCAGCCGCCGGTCACCTCCAGCTGCCGCGCTTGCCCGCACCCGGCACGCAGGAGCAGAACAGCTTCAGGCACCCGCCACCCTCCTCCCCCCTTGCAGGTGCTCCAGCCCGTCCCTCGCCGCAGGCCACCGGCTCCTGCTGCCCGAGTACAAATCCTCGGTGTCCCCGACCCGCTCCCACAGCGCACATCAGAGACGCCTGACCTGCGGCTTCTCTGCCTCCGTGGGTCCCTCTGGCTAAACTCCGAGCGCAAGAAGGCAGGCACGGAAGCAGCCACCCCACGCACCCAACAACACTGTGGGTGCCCGCAACCCACACCCGGACACGCGCACCCTGTCTACACTACGTTAAGTGGTGACACTTAATGCGGCTCCTGAGCTCGAAGACCTCAGGACCGACGTGGGGCCTCCTCCCCAGGCACCAGGCTGCGGCTTCGCCCGGTCCCCGCGCTCTGGCCAAGTGTACCTTGGACAGCTGCACGTTCAGGTCACAGATCTCCTGGCTCACTTGCGGGGTGCACAGCAGATCCGTGAGTGCTTTGTAGAGAAGGCCGTTCAGAGCCCGCAGGCGCACGTGCTCGTCCCTCCTGGTCTTCTTCGAGGTGCTCTTCGTTAGGAACTCCAGCCGGGACGGCTTGTACATCTCCACGCAGAAGAGAAAGGGCAGCGTCACGACTGCACACGAAACTTGCTCTGACAAGAAGGGGGCTGGGGAGGACTGCACACTTGCATCAACGAGAAGCCAGCGTTACTCTCAGCCGTCTCAGCTCATTACGATGCAGTCTACAGACCTGGCTCCTAGACGTTACCTAGCGTCCCCCCAAGTTAAAAGTACTGTCAGTACGTGTATCTGCACCTAAAAAATCTTACATAGTATGACATTCTCCTTCTTAAACAATTCAGGGTTAACATATAATGCACTTTTTCTAACAAAAGCCACTTAGTACACAAACTCCCATAGTCTATCCGCACGCACGGATGCTAACACCAAGCGGACGTTTCCATGTTACTATTTGATAACACAGACGACATTCCAGAATACTGCAGAATAATTTTCTTTAAAAGGCACCTGGTGACTTGGCTGAGCGTCCGACTCTTGGTTTTGGTTCTGGTCATGACTTCAGGGTTGTGACATGGAGACCTGAGTTGGGCTTGATGCGTAGCGGGGAGTCTGTCTGGGATTCTCTCCCTGTCTCTCTCTCTGCCCCTGCCCCTGCTCACTCACACTCTCTCCCCCTCTCTCAAATAAATAAACTCTTCTAAGAAGTAAAAATTCACACTGGCAGTGTCTCTAGTCCCGCCCCTACAGACCTGGAATCCTCAGATGTGGAAATGGAAGGACTGCCAGGCTGGGGCTCTGCCCACTTCTGGAAGCCTACACCCACCAGAGCCTGAAGCAGCTCCTCGAAGCCACCCAGCACTTACCAAGTGAGAGCCCAAGGAAGGACCTTCGTACCAAAACTTCTTTCTATGGGGAGAAATAGAATGACGACACTGGTGGCAAATTAAGGAAAATACGTGTCAACTCAACAGTACGATACCACCATCCTTCCTAAAGGGCTAAACTTGGGCACAAAAATGGATGTTACCGGAGAACTAAGAAATTCCGAATTCTAATCAACAACAGGGACCGTGGGGGAGATGATTTTAGAGACAATTTTAGTTCAATCTTCTAATGTTTACTCAAGGTCTACCTCCAATCCCGAAGGCGGAGAGAGCACCTCAGAACACCTGCGAAACCGCAGGCGAGCCCCATACGCGGGGTGTGTGGCCCCACACTGGCTGGGCTGGACGAGGACAGCGGGTGGTGATGGGGGAGTGGTCACTGCTTCGCTGACAGATTACAGATAAGCAAGGAAAGCTAGCTGCACGAGCCCTGGGGCGTGGACTGGGGCTGGACATCAGTGTGGACTCCAGTGTTCCTGAGTATCTGACACATACAGAGACCTTTGCAGGCGAGAGTATGTGCAGAGTTAACAAAAATGCATTTTCTGCTTTGTCAGCTGACAAGGCCTAAGGGACAGACACCCCAGCTCTCAGGTTATCATTTTTTTTTTATTTAAGATTTTATTTATTTATTTGACAGATCGCAAATAGGCAGGGAGGCAGGCAGAGAGGGAGAAGGAAGCAGGCTCCCCACTGAGCAGAGAGCCCGATGCGGGGCTCGATCCCAGGACCCTGAGATCATGACCTGAGCCGAAAGCAGAGGCTCAACCCACTGAGCCAGGCAGGCGCCCCCAGATGATCATTTCTGATGACGTCCAGCAATAACAGAGCTTCTCAGAGAACTGCTGACTGCAGGGCTGGGAGAGGAACTGGTAAAAAAAAGTTTTTAGGGGCGCCTGGGTGGCTCCGTCAGTGAAGCGTCTGCCTTGGGCTCAGTTCACGACCCCTGGTCCTGGGTCGAGCCCCCTCCGGCTGTCTGCTCAGCGGGGAGCCTGCTTCTGCCTCTGCCCCTCCCCACCGCTCCCGCTGGATCTCTAACAAACCTTAAGGGAAAAAAAAGGTTTTAAACTTAAAAGCCACCACAAAACCCCGAAACGATGAGTGTGGCAGAATAGAGACCCTAAACAGAGAGCTCCTAGAGATCAAAGACAACCCGAGCGCAGCAGGGTTACTGGCTGGACACGCGACATCCACGCGCACGTAAGCACCCGCAGGACAAGACCCGCTCCGCGGTCGCAGACCCGCACACACGCCGGAGCACGACCCACCTCCCCATGCGGCTGCCTGCGGGGCGTCCCCTAGAGCAGACAGGGAGCCACGGGCTGGGGAGCTCGACACGGGTGCGCCCGACAGACGCGACCTCGGGCAGCCGCCTGGGCCCGCAGCGACCGCCCGAAGCAGGCTCCGTGGCAGGAGCACGAGAAGTCCTGCAACCCCACACGGGGCGCGCGGACAACGTCCACGCGGCGCGCGCACAACCCCCCCGGGCCGCGGGGCACCGAAGCCGGGTCCAGAGGGCCTGACAGCCGGCTCTGCGGGACGCGGTCCCGGAGGAGCCCTGCGGCGGGAACAGGGCTCCAGTCACCAAGCGGGTGCAACCCCGGCTCGCCCCCGGGGCCGGCTGCCGCACAGCCCGCCACAGAGCGGGCGCGGGGCCCCGGGACGCTGCTCCCCCCGCCGCCGCGGCCACCGGGAAGCCGTCTCGGAAAACCGGTCTGCGGCGGGAGAGGCCGCAGACGGCAGCGCAGGGACCCTCTCCCTTGGGATCCCCGAGCCCGCGCCAGGCGCTCCGGCGCACAGAGCCGCTCCCGGGCTCCCCTACGACGAGCCCCCGCCCCCCGCGAGAACTGCTCTCGGGAAGCAGGCGGGCGGGAAACCGGACCCGCGTCAAACAGCGACGAGCGCCATTACTGGCAGCTCTTCAGCCACCGCGACCCAACGAGCAGGAGCGGGGCTGCCGACGTGCTGCCGACCCGACGCCGCGACAGGGCTCCGGCGGGGCCGCACAGACCCCGCCCCCGCGGACCCGCCCCCGGTGAATCCCGCCCCGCCCCCGCTCCGCGGACCTGCTCCCCCCACCGGGAACCCCGTCCCCGCCCCTGGACCCCGCCCCTTACCGCGGGAACCCCGCCCCCGCCGCCCAAGCCCGCCCCCCGTGAGCCCCGCCCCCGCCCCGCGAACCTGTTCCCCCCGGGAACCCAGCCCCCGCCCCGCGGACCCCGCCCCGCCCCGCCCCGCGGAGCGTCCCCCTCCACAGTGGACAAATCCCCCGCAGCTGCGTCCTGCCCCCCAACCTGAAGTTAGTCGCCCTCCGCCACAAGGGCACCGCCCCCACCCCCAGCGTCCCCGCGCGCGGTGCGCATTACTTGGTTTTCGAAGCGAATTTCTTGAGTAGGTTCTTGCCGCAGGAGACCGTCGAGCCACGCAGGGCCCGCGCCCCGCCCGGAGGGAGATCCACGTGGCCACCGCGGAGGAACGCCCGGAGCCCCTCGCGAAGCCCGCACCGGCGGGGCGTTACCGCCCACATGGCTGCGGCGGCAGGGCCGGCAAGGGCAACGTGAGGCGACGCGGGGCGACGCGGGGCGACGCGAGGCGACGCGGGGCGACGCGAGGCGACGCGAGGCGACGCGGGGCGACGCGGGGCGGGGCTGTGGGACCAGGCGGAAGCACGCGGCGGGAAGTGAATGCGGCGCGCGGGGTCATCCGGCGCCGGGCGACCCGCGTACGCAGCGACGTCGGGGCGGGGCGACGACCCCTCACGCGAGGTGCGCACAGGACGGGGCGGGGTCTAGAGGCCGGGGCGCGCGGGGCGACGTCGGGGGGCGGGGCCTGCAGGCCGGGAGGGCGGTGGGAGCTACGGCGCGTCCGTCCGACGCGCGGGGCGGGGCAGGGCGGCTGCGGATGCAGAGGGCGGGGAGGGGAGGGGAGGGAGAGCCAGGGCTCCCGGAGCCTCAGCAGCCGCCCGTGCGCGCCGGAGGGAGGCGGCCCCGGGACTGCGGGGCCCCACCCGGCTCGACGCCCCGCGCCGCTGCAGCCCGCACCCCCGGGGCCGCAGGTCCGGCGCGAACGTGACGCGCGGACGCTGGCGCCGGCGGGTCGGAGGGTCAGGGACGCTGGCGCCCGCGGCAGGAGGGAAGGCGGCCCCGGGAGGTGCGGACCAGCCCGGGGTTCACCCAGCGGCGGGCGTGGGGACGGGACGCCGGCCGCCGGCTCTGCGGGGCGACCCCTCGGAGCCGCCCGGAGGCCGCCGCGGGAGCGAACGGCGCGCGGAGCAAGCTCTCGGCGGACCGCGCTCCCGTCCGCTTCCGTGACCCGCGCTCCCGCGGCGGCCGGCGTTACCGTCCCTTTCCGTGACCCCCGACGGCCCCGACAGCTTCCGACCGAGCCCGCCGGGCCCCCGCTGCCTAAAGAAAACCTAACCGGGCTGCGGGCCGGCTCCAGTAATGGCGCAAAGGAATGGCGCAAAAAAAATTCTCCCCATCTGAGCCGACCGCGCACTGACCAGCCCCGTAGAGCTTCGGCGGGCCCGGGAGGGCCACGGGGACGCTCTCGGCGCCCACGCGCGGCCCTCGGGGCGCGACTTCACCGAAGGGCGCGTCCCTGGTTCCCGGGTGTCTCGACTCCACGTTCCGGTCGGACGGGAGGCTGTGGTGGTCTCAGGGCACCGCCCCTCCTCCGACCCCAGTACGTGGGGGCGCGGCCCGAGCGTCCCGGCCACACCCGGGCTCTCAGCACACAACAGCTCGCCACGGGGCGGCTCCCACGACACCGGCCCGGCCAGCAGAAGAGGCCCTTGGGGTTCCGTGACGCAAGTGCTCGTCCCCGCAGCACGGGCCGGGCTCCCTGTGGCGAGTAGCGGTGTTCCTGGAATCAGACCTCGGAGAAGGGAGAGGAGGGAACTCAGCCCAGAGAAAGAAGGAAGTGTTCGAAGGGCAGCAGGGGGTCTCAAACACGGACGCTGACCCTAGCCACCAGCACGAGGAGAGGGCAGCAACCTGACCCAGCAGAGCCTCTTGACTTTTTTTTAAGATTTTTAAAAATTTTATGTATTTGACAGAGAGGGAGAGGTCACAAGTAGGAAGGGAGGCAGGCAGAGGGAGGGGGAAGCAGGCTCCCCGCTGAGCAGAGAGCCCGATGTGGGGTTCGATCCCGGGACCCTGGGACCATGACCTGAGCGAAGGCAGAGGCTTTAACCACTGAGCCCCCCCAGGCACCCCACCTCTTGACTGTTTGAATACAAAGGCCAAAGTCCACACGCCGCAGTCAGCCTCCATCCTCTAGGAATCTTAGGGACCCCAAACCTGCAGAAATTCTCTGGGGACACTTGTAATTTATGTCAATGCGCCATGACTGTCCTTGCCCCCAGGCCTGACCCAAGTGAGGCAGAGCCTGTAACACCCTCAGCAAGGGTGAGAACTATTCAGAAGAGCGCTCCTGCCCTGCCAGTGGGGAGGTGGGCCCTACCATCCAGCAGCACTAGCAGGACACCGGTCTCAGCAGGAGGTGATCCCACGACTCAGACTCAGAAGCAGCGGAGTCCTGCGACAGCCCGCGCACAGAATTTGGTGTCCAGGCCAGACGAACCTGAACCGCACCAGCACAACACTGCAACAGCAGCGTTGTTGGGACTGAGGTAACAGGATGACACTGACGACCTTTGGGGTAGATGCCTGGACTTGCCCTGTGACTTGTTAGTGAAGCCACCAAAAAAGCTTACCCGCAGCAGGTGAGCCCCAAGCTTCTAGGTTTCTGAGTGAGTTGACAACGTCTAAAATGCTCGTGCTTCTTACGGGATACTGACACTCTTCTGTTCTACACTAGCGGTTCTCAAACATTTGGTCTCAGGTACACTCTTAGGTCAATCTTTTTTTTGTTGAATTTTCTTTTTCTTTTTTTTTTTTTTAAGTAGTCTGCATGCCCAGTGTGGGGCCTGAACTCAAAACCCTGAGGTCAAGAATTGCGCATACTACCAACTGAGCCAGCCATGTACCCCAGGACTTCTTTACACACTTCTTTAAGTTTTTTAAGATTTTATTTATTTGTTTATTTGGGAGAGAGCAAGTAAGGGGAAGAGGGAGAAGCAGACTCCCCACTGAGCAGGGAGCCCCACTGGGGCCCGATCCCAGGAGGCAGATGCTTAACTGACTGAGCCACCCAGGCACCCTTCTTTACACTCTTAAAACTGAGAACCACAAAAAACATTGTTTTTATGGGTTTTATCTGTCAACATTTATTGTATTGGAGATCAAAGAAGTATTAGTACAGCAACACGCATTGCGTTAGTTGTCGGGGACGCTGCCCGCAGGTGCACTGAACCATCCGTGAGGAGGTAGCACATACGTTCAGTGAAGGTAACGGTGACTGTACAGACCCCTCAGAGGGTCTCCAGACCACATTCTGAGAAAGTATGCTAAATAAACTTTTTTTTCAGAAATGTAAGTTCTGTGGTCAGTCTTGGTAAAGTTAGGTATTAAATTTGGTTGTAATGTCAGACTTCCGATGGACAGTAATTTGCTTACTAGACACAAAGCTGGAGGAATCAAACCTGGGAACCGTCACCTTAATGAACGACACCAAGATTCAAGATAAACGATGTGACGAAGACCCCAGTCCCTGGATCGATGGGTCACACACAGAAACATGAGCGCCTGCGTGGCTCCGTCGGTGGGGCCTGTGTGTACGTGATGCTCCCTCTCTCTCCCTGAAAAAATAAACAGGGCGCCCGTGTGACTCAGTCGGTCAAGGGTCTGCCTGCAGCTCCGGTCACAGTCCTGGGGTCCTGGGATCGAGCCCCGCGTCGGGCTCCCTGCTCAGCGGGGAGCCTGCTTCCCCCCCTGCCCACCCCTCGCTTGTGCGTGCTCTCGCGCGCTCTCTCTGACAAATAACTAAAATCCTTAAATAAAAATAAAATGTCCTTAAGACACAGAAGCAAATTGGGCAGAAATAAATGTAAAATTCCACGCATAAAAGACAATTGAGGGAACAATTTCGATTTTTGCTGACTAAAAACCTAACACGCTGCGCGCGAACGGGCCTGCCAGCAGCGCGGGCCGCGGAACGCGCTCGCGGGCTCAGACCACAACACGGCCGTGCGCGGGTCCTGGGGCACGTCCTCAGAGGACCTCCCGGACCGGAGCGCCGGGAGCGGGGCGGGGCAGGCGCCGGAAACGCGGCCGTCTGGGCTGCGACGGAAGGACCTGAGACAAGCTCAGACGCACGGAGCGGGGGCGGCGGCTCTGAGGCTCCGGGAGGCAAACCAGGGCCACCGGGTAAGGCGAGGGTGCGCTGGCTGGACAGGAGCCAGGCCGGCCCGCCCCCCACAGGGGCCGCCGCCCGAGAGCCCGGAGCCCCCCCACGCAGACGTCCCGCCTTTTGCAGAACCCGACCGGCTGGCGGAGGCCTGCCCGGGCCCCTGCACGGCCCAGACCCCCCGCTCTGTGGCTTAACGGCTGCCAGGGGCGGAGAGCAGTGACTGTGCGGAGCCTCGGGAGAGACGGCCGTCCTGCCCGGCTCGCTCGCGGGGCAGGGGCTGCAGCGCGCCGCGTCCAGCGCCACCGCTTTGATGGCCCCGGTCTGGAGAGCTTCCACCAGCGCGTCCTGATGCACCGACAGACCTGAGTTAACGGGACGAAGCCTCTGCATCACTACGGTCGGGCAGGACCCGGGAGGGACGCTGTGGTCACCGTCGCTGCTACTGCAGGCCCGTCTCGATCATGCCAGCGGCTGACCAGGAGCTTCATTCTGCTGGTTCCTCACCAGACTTGCGGAGCCGGCCCGGGCCAGGCGGAGCGCTGAGCCCCGCGCACAGCTCGCCCCGCGCACAGCTCGCCCCGCGCACAGCTCGCCCGCTGAACCCTCCAAGAAGCTGGCAAAGCCTGTGCGTCTCACACGGGAGGAACTGAGGCCTGACGCCAGGCCACACAGCTCCTAACCGATCAACCCAGGTTCGTCTATCCTCAGGTCCGGGCTGGTCTCACGCTACACAGCGCCTCCCCAGGTCAGGGACCCAGCCCCAGGCTGCCGCAAACACACTTTAAAAACGAAGCCACCACAATCCACAACTGTCATTTCAAATTCAGAAGGGCAGAAGCTGAGAAGAAAACCTTTCCTCGAGGCAGAGACCAGCAAGGAGCCTGACGAGTGGCCTCCTGACGCCTGACCGTCGGGGCAGGCCCGAGGGTCAGGACACAGAGCGTCCCTGGTGTGCGGGGGCTGCGGCTGGAGAAGCCGCGTCCCACACCCTTTTCTGGGCTGTTTTCCCAGCATCTTGAGCACATTCACCAGCCTCTGACGTTGCGGAAGCTGGTCCTTCCTGTTCGCCTAGAGGGTCTGAATTTTCATTGAACCCTCAAGCATATTAGCTCAGCCCCATGCGGTCTTCTCATCTTCCGGCACCAGCTCTTTTAGGGTTCCCGGACCCAGTTCCTGCGTGGGGTAGAGAGAGAGAGATTCCCACATGTTCAAGGCTAAGCAGTCCTCGGGATACCAGCAGGGTGTCGGAGAATTCAACTCAGTTCTGACACTGTCTACCTTGGACAGAGCATCCGATCCCACAGGTTAAGGACTCAGTCCTGTAAGACGCCCTCCTGCCCCCGAATTCAGACACTCTTCGGAAGTCCCCGGCTGGGACTCGGGCTTCTGACCGACCAGCTGCAGAGTGGCTATTCCAGTGACCTCCTCCTGAATCTGCTGCAGCGGCTCACAGAACGCAGGAAGGGCTCACGGTGACCTGCTGGTTAAAGGGTGAGAGTCAGCAGCCAGATGGAGAGGTGCCCAGGGACAGGTCCGCGGGAAAGGGTGTGGCGTTTCCATGCCCTCTCCTGACAGCCGCTCATCCCAGTCTCCGAGAGTTTGCCAGCCCAGAAGCTTCCAAACCCAGTCCTTTTGGGTTTTTATGGAGGCTTCTTTGCATGGCCATGATGGATTAAATCATTGGCCACTGGCTGACTGAATGCCCAGGCCCTTTCCCCTCCCCAGAGGTCAGGCGTGGGGTCCCTCTGATCACATGGTTGGATCTCTTGGTAGCAGCAGCCCCCGCCCTTGAGTGACGGAGTTCCAAAAGTCACCTTCATTAGCAAAAGACACCTTTGTCAGTCTCAACACTTGGGAAGTTTGGAGGGTTTGGGGAGCAGAGAGCCAGGAACTGTGGATGAAGACCACAACTGAATGACCAAATACGTATTTCTTAGAAATTTCAATCTCAGGTGGCAAACACTGTTCTCCTCATTTTACGGATGAGGTGTGGTGGCTCTTGGTAGCCCTAGGTGTCACGTGTCTTCTGGCCCCGAGCCCCACAGAGGTGCCTGGCTTGCATGTCTGACAGCAGCACGGATCCTCGGTTCTTTATAAACACACACCTAACAACCTGCAGCACACGCAACCACATCTTGTATGGAAGCACAAAGCGCTACGTAAATGTCAAAAACCAAACTGTTACTTATTTTTTAAAGTGAAGGCTTAGAAAATTCATCTCCATAAATCCTGCTTAATTACACCTGGAAAACCAAACTGTAATGCCTCTCCCCCGAGGCCTTGAACATGCGGGAATCTCTCTCTCTCTACCCCACGCAGGAACTGCGTCCGGGAACCCTAAAAAAGCGGGCTGTGAAAGCCATGACTGTATCATTCTCATCCTCTTGTTACTAATTCGAGGTTCAAAATGACGTGGAAACAAAAATCAGAAACACCTCCGAACAGGAGGGAGACTCCCTCGCATTAGAACCCCCTCCGCCCCCACAGTGTACGTGGACTTTCGTACACCGTGGCCATCAGGTGGAAAGCAGATCAGAGGTGCTGACGGCCAGGGTGTTTCTTCCCACATGACCGTCCAGCCCCGCGGCCCGCGCTCAGCAGAGACCTGTACCTTTGCCCACGCTGATGACAATGGCCGTGGGCTTCATCAGACTCAGCTCCCTCTTCCCAACCAGCCTCTGGGTCTGGGACGTCAGGCTCATAGCCAACAGCATGGAGTCCAATCGCCGAAGCAGGTCATCCAGACTCTCGATAAGTGGCACCAACAGCTCCCTCCTCCTCTAATTTCCTATGAAGGGAACAAGGAAGAAAAACCACGTTCTCTAATCAGAAATTCATCACGTCGCCCCAGGAAGGAGTTTCTGAGGGAGCCAAGGATGCAACCTGTCGCTGCTGGGTCCAGGATCCATGGGATCCATACCCTGTGGGCATGTCCGGGTTCTCTGGGGGCAGGCCGCGGGGCCTGTGGAATTTCATACCACACTGGGGCTCCCCGAGGCCAGGAGCTGCTTGTCCCTTGAGCCCCCAGAGCCTGGTACAAGTCCGATGGTCCATCAGACATACGCTCGGTGACGACAGGACATCAATGAAGGGAAGTAGGTCCCAGTCCAAGTTAGAGCACAGGCACCTGCTTCTGGGACCACAGAGCACCCCCATGTGGGCAAACGCATCTGGGTTTCCCAGAAAACATACCAACAGAACTGGAGGGTGCCTGAGAATGCTGCTTCTCACACAGGGAGCAAGGCCCCCGGGGTTTGATAGAGGGAACCTTTGTGTTTTGCTTTGGTTCAGTCCTAACCCTGCTCTGGTCCCCAAACAGCTGGCTGTTCAGAGGGATTCCAAGGCCCAGAGGTTATAGGTTCCCAGGCAGCTGCCACGGCGCTACAAACACAGAATTCCAAATTACCCAAATTCTCCCCTAACGTGTTTGGGTCAAGGGACAGCCCCGAGGAAGGATGGATACCATGCCCACATCACACACTCCATCACATAAGATCCCTGGCGTCTCTCTGTGTGCCTGTGTTCATCGCCCTGAAGTCTCTTCACTGTCTGTGGTGCAAACGCTGGCTGGACACACCATCTCCCAGCTCACCAGGCCTCCACGACTTTCTCACCAGCTGGGAATGTGGTCCACAGGCAGTGGGAGGCCACTGAAAGGTTGTAAACAACGTCCATCATCTGGCTGGTTTGCAAGGGGGGCCGGAGGTTAAAGAGTAGCAGTGAGAAGCCCCATAGAATATGTATTTCAGGTGAGAAAGGACAAAGGACAGGGCCGGAGCCAGCGGCATTGAAGAAGTGAGAGAGAACAAGCAGGTCTGCCGCTGTGTGGAGGCAATTGTAAGCCCGGGCATCGACCGAGGAAGGAGCCCGCGCACGTCACGGAGGGCCGACACAACCTTCCGTATTAAAGGGATCAGGCAAGTTGCCCAGTGCTATGGACAGCTTCTCCCTTTCACTTCAGAAATTAAAGCCTCTTTTCTGATGTTTTCAATTAAAAAAAAACAAAAAAGGTCTCAGCCACATTCCCAGGTAAGCACAGCCGCTTTCTCGACCATCATTCTTATTTTTTGGAGAGAAAGAGCAGGGGAGTCTTGTGACTTATGGGGGGATCCTATATCCAAGCCATACGGAAGGCAGGGATGGTATGTTAATTTCAGGTCCACTTTCTGAATGTTTACCTGCATCTCCTGTTGTGGTAGAGAATCCTCGTGTCGAACGCTCTGGCTCTCTGAGTCATCTTACAGCCACTGCTGCCCACGCTGACGATTCCCAGAGTGGCCCCGGTCACCTCCTGACCCATCCAGTTTGTAGAAAATGTCTCTGTATCTGGCGCACTGGCCAACATGGGACCTAAAATACACAGGGGACAGAGTGAGCAGTGGGGACGTCACCACGCACAGAAAGCCACCTTCCCACACCACAGACGAAGGCTTCCACTAGGCTGAAGGGAGGGACAGATGGAAGTTTCCTCCTAACAGCACCGGAGCGTCCTGGTATTGAGCTTTAAAACACCAACTTCTTTTACGTTACGGAAGGTCTCCTGGTAGAAATGTGTCGGTGTCGGCACGTGTGTGCACACAAAGAGCCTGGTTCTCACTTCCTCTTTCCTCAAGCGCCGTCACACCCAAGCTCACCAGGAGGATGGGGCACCCTCCCAGAGATGGCCAGGGGGTGCAGAGGCCCGGTGCTGCCTTCTCACTTGGAGGCCTTCACCCCAGGGCAGCATGCTGACGGACCAAGGAATGACCCCAAGGGCATTTCCACAGAGATGCTGAAATTACTTCAGCCGTCAAGGGAACGCGTGGAAGCTTGTGGGGGGCGGACATGGTGGCTGTTGGACAGACTGCCCGTGCCAGGTGCTGGCAGCTGGGCTCGAGCCCTGGGTGGGCTGCCGAGAGTGGCTCCAGTTCCCAAGTGCAACAAAGCCCTGAGTTCGGTGTGAAGAAGTCAGGCCCCGCGCAGACTTGCAGTTTGAAGACAGGAGCACGTCATTGCGCCCGGTATTACGTGTCTGTCACGTGCACTCCTTGGAAAACCAGCAACTCCAGTGGCCGTTTCCCTGCTGCGACTCTGCGAGCTGCCCCCAGCAGTAAGGCCATCCCCATGTCGGCCGTGGGGCTGGACACGGCCAGTGGTGCGTCGGCCACCTTCACACCAAAGCTGGCCGCGAGCTTCAGGTCCAGGGGATCCAGACCTACTCCGCGCACTTCCACCCCAGATATACACAACTTGGATCTTTGGGCCAAACTGCATTTCATTTTCCAAAAATTCTTGCCCAGTAATGAGATTACAGTGTTTCTGCAGATGTCCAGCACAATCTTCACATACACCGTAGGGCCCTTCCAGTGCAGAGGGACAGGCCAGGCACGTCCTGACCCGCCACGGCCTGCCGGAAGACAAGCGCACATCTGCGACCAGCGCGTCTTCAACAGAACAATCAGTGCTCCTCGACAGCCCTTTTCGGGTTCTGAGCGCCCAGTTCCCAACATGGTGCCCCCCAGCCCGCCCTCAATTCCACGCCGTCCTCAGGGTACCAGCTGAGTGTCTGAGTGTCCAAGGGTTCAACTCAGTTGTGACACTCCCTGCCCAAAGACAGCATCAGCTCCCGCCGAGGGCTCAGTCCTCCACGGCTGCCCCACCCCCACCTCCGACGCCCCGCACAGGCCCCAGGCCGCTCCCTGGGCTTCCGGCCGGCAGTTTCCAACCAGCTCCTCCGCCGGTTCTCGGAACTCGCGAGAGCGGCGCACAGAACTCAGAGACACGGCCTCCTGCTTCCCAGGTCCTCAGGGGCTGTGACAGCGCACGGCGAGACTGAGACGCCGACAACCGAGTTTCTGTCCCCGTGGAGCTTGGGGCCGGCTCCCCGAGGAAGAGTTCTGGCTCCCTAAGCGTGGAAGGTCTCCAGAAAGGACCCAAAAGCCGACCTCTTGGGGTTTTATGGAGGCTTCGCTGGCTGAGTCCACCTCCAGCCTCTCCCCAGGGGTCGGCGCGGTGGTCACGAGGGGCTTTACCCGACCTGTCGTCAGTCCCAGGCAGGCCCCGTCAGCCTCACCGCGGCGCCACGGTGCCCCGGGGGTGCGGAGGGGGCAGCTGCCTGGGCGGACCAAGGAGGTCCCCACCCCCGTCCCAGGGGTCCCCTCTGTCCAGTCCCCACCCCCGTCCCAGGGATCCTGTCAGTTCGGACGCGAACCCCACCTCCTTGGTCCGCCCAGCCAGCTGCACCCTCCGCACCCCCCGGGGCACCGTGGCGCCGCGCTGAGGCTGGGTCTGTCCGACGGGGCCTGCCTGGGACTGACGACAGGTCGGGTAAAGCCGGGCCCCTCCTGCCCACCGCGGCGCCTCCGAAACGCGAGCCCGCGGGGTTCGCCCCCAGACCACCTACCGCACGCGCGCCGCCTGGAGCCCGGGGCCTCGGGTGTCGCGCGCCTCCCGGCGCCGGGCGCCCGCCCCCACGTCGGCGGACACGCGCACGCTCACGTCGGCGCGCACGCAGCGTCCGGCACGCGTCCACGCCCGGAAGGACTGCAGCGCGGGAAGCTCTAGTCGGCAGAGGTGCGAGCGGCGGGAGCTGAAGGGCCGGGAGGGCGGTGGGGCGAGGAGGGAGGGGGCGAGAGCCGAGGAGGGCAGCCCCCACGGGTTCTCCGCGCCGGGGCTGGGGTCCGCGGGGCGTCCGCGAGGTCCCGGCGCCCTTCCAGGGGTCGAGCTCGGGGGTCCCGGCGGGGAGCGGGGTCCCGGCCGCCCGCCGTGGGACCGAGGGCCGCGGGCTGGGTGTCGCGCGGCCCCGCGCCCCCGTGCCCGGCAGCCCGCGGGAAGGAGCGGGTGCGCGCAGTTCTCCTCGCAGGCCCCCGGACCCGCCCCGAGATGTCGTACATGCTCCCGCACCTGCACAACGGCTGGCAGGTGGACCAGGCCATCCTGTCGGAGGAGGACCGCGTGGTGGTCATACGCTTCGGGCACGACTGGGACCCCACCTGCATGAAGATGGACGAGGTGCTCTACAGCATCGCCGAGAAGGTAGCGCGGCGCCCCGCGGTCGGCCTGGGACCCGGGCGCGGCCGGTCCCCCCGCTTGGCCCGCTGGCGGGGGGGGCTTGGAGGTGCGGTGGTCTCGTTCGCGCCCCAAGTGCAGGCGCGGTCGGCAGAGGGAGGAGGAGGTTCCCGGCCGCGTTCTTACCCTGCGGCCCCCGGAGGTGTCCTCACGAGCTTCCGCCTTTCCCGGGAGAAGCTTCGTGGTGTCCCGGTGTCGAGGGGTTGACGGTTCCTCGCCGCAGGGTCGCGAACAGGACACACCTGGGGACTAGTGAGCTGCGTAGCTTCGCGGACGAGGACTGTGCGTTCCTGGTGCCTTGTTTCCTGGTGTGGGAGCCCCCGCCCTGCCAGAGCATGAACCCTGCCCCCTGCTCCCGGCCCTTCCGTCCACCCCAAGTGATGCTCTGCAAGTCGCTTGGCTTCTGTCTCCGAGCGAGCGCGTTGCAGGAGGCGACAGGAGAGGAGAGAATCGGGCTCCGGGTGTTTCCCATCAGGACTCCGGCTCGTGGGTGGTGGCGACGGTGCCTATGCCGGCCCGTTCTGTAACCGGGGCTCCGTGTTTCTCTGTAGCTTCTTCATGGTGGTTTGGAGGTAACTTTAATTTGGGGTTTTGCAATTGTAGCAACAAGACAAAGAGCCAATATTAGGCTGTTAATGAGACACCTAACTCACCGATATTCCAAAAGTAATTTGAGAGGCCACTTGAACGAAGAGTGAAAGTGATGGAAACATTGAAGCTATGTTTTCTCTCAGAGAATAAGGGGTTAGAGGAACGGATGTAAGAGCGTATCTTGCATTGAGGACAGGAAGACTGTCTGCCCTTCTGGGACATCTGGCGGGCTCCGTCCGTAGAGTGTGAGATCCTTGCGGTCCTGCATTCAAGCCCCACATTGGGTTAGTTTACTTAAAAACAAACAACTGACCTTCCACTGCTAATTTTTACTATCTCTTACTTGGTAGGAGAGGCAGACCGCAGCAGGGGTGGTGGCACTGGGGACACTGGAAACTGTTCTGTGTCAGTCATCATGAGCGTCCCTTGGAATACTTGCTGAAGTGCATCTCCAAGGTTCCTGTTCTGCTGGTTTGGGGTGAGGTCCAGAAACAGCCCTTTTCAGAAGCCGTCCTGGCAGTTCTGATGGGACTTTCAAAGCCCCTCAGCGGCGGTCAGGATCAGAGTAGGTGTGCTGTGGTTGCCAGCCGCTCCCTTCCTCCTCCTCCAGCAGCTTGAGAGCGCACCCCGGGAACTCGGGAGAGCAGCAGTTTCCTGACATGGGAATCCTCCCAGCTGGGGTCCGAAGTCATCAATGAGGTGATGCCAGGACATCTCTCTTATGCCTTTGCTTAGGTTGTGGTGATCAAGGGCAGACACAGCCGAGGTCAGTGCTGCCTGGGAGCACCTCTCTGAGGAGCACTAGCTGTAGCCGGGCTGTGTGTTCTGAGTCCCGAGTTGCAGCTGCTGGTGTGAACACCAGGTGGTGACCAGCTCCTGCTGTCCTCAGCACAGGGTCAGGGTACTGAGAGATGGCAGGGTCGCTTCACGTCTGAGCAAAACCAGCAAAATGCTCTTAGCTAGGAGATAGATTTTGTGTGTTAATATAAGCTTTTATATTATATAACTGTGGAAGTCCACAGTTCTTTTCTCATCCCTTCCTGTCGGGTATAGACTGAATTCCTGTATCAGTGGACGCTCTCTTTTTTGGTATTGAACCTATTCATAAGAATAGCTTAACTGGGCTCACTTTGAGTGTTTTTCTTTGTTTTTTTTTTAAGATTTTTCTTTTTTGTCCAAAAATTTGGGTTTCTGTTTATATTAATAAAGTTTTAGTAAAATATTACATAGTACAGTTATTAAAAATGCAAACTTAAAATGTATCCCAAGATTATTGCTTTATTTTTTTCTTAGTATAAAGGCAGAATACGAGTTTATGATTCTGGAAGCCCTTTTTGGGGAAGCTCAAGGGGAATTTTTGAAATTTAAGGTTTTAGTCCAAAGAACAACTTAACTCTCCATTTAAAAATCTCCCTCTGGGGGCACCTGCCTGGCTCAGTGGGTTAAGCCTCTGCCTTCGGCTTGGGTCATGATCTCAGGGTCCTGGGATCGAGCTCCACATCGGGCTCTCTGCTCAGCGGGGAGCCTGCTTCCCCCTCCCCCTCTGCCTGCCTCTCTGCCTACTTGTGATCTCTCTCTCTGTGTCAAATAAATAAATAAATAAATCTTTTAAAAAAAAAAAAAAACTCCCTCTGCAGAAATGGCAGAGAGTGGGGGATCTTCCTCATATTGTTACAAGCCCTGTTTGGATACCCCAGCTGTTGTAGAGTGAGTAAAAGTTCCACTGTTTAGGCTGGACTTGATGCGATCGTTTCTCCTAGAACGTGGTGCGTTGAATTCTCGCCCCCCACCTCGTGCTGGGTGTTTTGAGCCACACTGAAAACACAAGAGATCTGCGTGATGGTTTCACAGACGCCTGGAGTTTGGTAGAGTGAGAATAACAAAGTTTCCTGTTCAGCTGGGGTTTTTTTTCCTTTAAGGTTTTATTATTTATTTGCCAGAGTGCACAAGCAGGCAGAGAGAGAAGCAGGCTCCCTTCTGAGCAGAGAACCCGATGTGAGACTCAATCCAAGGACCCTGGGATCATGACCTGAGCCGAAGGCAGCCGCTTAAGCCACTGAACCACCCAGGCATCCCTGTTCAGCTGATTTTATGCACAGCCTCAAAGAGAGACTGTTTTGTGTACCTCTGTGCTGTCTTGCCATTTTGTACTAACAGTTTGTCACAGCTCATCCCGTGATGGGAAAGAATAGTTGGGACATTTAGATTTTTTGTGTTAAAAAAACTCGTACAAATGAGTTTAAAATATGCAAAACCTCAATGATATCATTGATTCATGATCATACGTTCTCATGAAATTGTAAATAATACAAATACATGTATGGAACTTTTAGAAATGATTTTAAAGGATCATTCTTGAGCATTGCATAAAGTAAATTGAACCTTACTGGAAGTCGATGTTCAGTCAAATGGGATATCTTATGAGTCAGGAAGAAGCTTATGTTTGCTGTGGATTTGCGTGTCAGGGTATGAAGCCTTGAAGCTGGCAGCAAGCTCTGAGGGGCAGTGTGGAGTCTGGTTAGGAGCAGGGACCAGGCTAGCTCCTGCTACTTACTCCCTGTGTGATCTTAAATAACTTGTCTCTGTGCCTCATTTTACTCATCTGTAAGAAAGGGCAGTAGTGTCTAAGTAGGGTAGTTGTGAGGCTAGAATTACTAGAACGCGCTTCTGGAGCACTTTGGTCACACAGCCGGTCACGTATTCAGTAATCATGCACCGCTCTTACGGCGTCATCGTGCGCATCACAACATTTGCAGGAGTTGCTGTGATAGAGCTACTCAGGCAAATAGTTGGGGAAAATAAAGTTATCATGCAGGTTTTTAATGGCTTCTACATGAATGACCTAAGAATTGGTTCCTCGGAAATAAAATACAGAGTGGCAATTGACAGTCTAGAACATGTTTTTCCAGCATTTTACGTGGGTTCTTAGCTGGAGGAGGAGCTCTCTTAGAAGGCTGGAAGGGTGGTTGGTCTCCTGGGCGGGCCTTCAGTCTCCCTGATTCGAATGAGTGACTTTCACTTGTAGACGCATCCTGTAGAAGGGCTGCTGGACAGCTGAGTCAGTGACCTGCTGGAGGAGAAGATGTCCGGCAACAGGGCAACTGTTACAAATGATCAGCAGAATGTATACATTAAGAAACAACTTGATAATAGAAATGAAATTTGTGCATAGAGTTCTTGGCTTTTAAAAAATGCTGGTAACAACCAATTAAAATTATTGCAAACATAGCAGGCAAAATATTATTTCAGATCTAGAAGACTTATGCAAATAAGTTTGAAGTACCATTTGAAAAGATGACTCCCATGGGTAGAGAGGCAAAGAACTTTAAAAAGAGGAAATTCTAGTGGTTAAGTGAACTTGAGAGCCATGCATGTGAAAATAGTACGCACTGCTACTTAGACTTCTCAGAGATGAGAAGGTATTTACTGTGGCGTGGGGAACGTTAATACTGATGATATTCTTTTGGAAAGCAGCTTGGCCTTGTTTGAAAAGCCTTAAGAACTCAGTCATCCTACTTCTTCAGTAGGCAAAGTTTTATGCTCCACAGGACTTTTGGTATCATTTCTAGCAAAACTGGGAGCAACGACCATGTCTAACGGTAGGAGAGCATGGTGATGACTGTAATCTCTGGTTTTTGAACATTTAGACCAGTCACCTTGTCTGGTGGGAAACAGACCTCAGCGTAGTTGTTGTGACGACCATGAAGTAGGTGTGCCAAGTAATTTGTCCAGACTCGGAAATGGAGAGTTGGGATTTGAACGGGGAATGTCCTCTTCACCAGATGGAATACTATGTGGCCATTAAAAATAATTTTCTAAGCTTTTTAAATACCGTGGGCATTTGTTGATGACGTCAGCTTGAGAAAGCAGAACGTATGTGATTTCCTCATGAGTGAACATGTGGGTCTGGGGAAAGGGAAACACTTTTCACTGTAAGACACTCATACTCTGTTAATTTTATTTGTCATATATTTTTAAGTTACATAACTTGTTTGAAGAACACTGGGCTGGAGCACCTGGCTGGCTCAGTCAGAAGAGCACGCGGCTCTCAGTCTTGGGGTCGTGAGTTTGAGTCCCATGTTGGGGGTAGACTTCACTTTTAAAAAAAAAGTGGGATGGTCACGTGGCAGTGGATTTTCCCTTCCTTTTGTATATTTCCAAAGTGAGCATTTTTTAAATGGAGAGAATATCGTAGACACCTAGCTCCTTTTCAGTTTTCTAAAAAATACACAGGGTTGTAGTTAAGCACGGATTCCTTAATGGGTGCGAAACGTTGAGTAGAAATAGTTCAGCTTTGACAAGCGGAGGCTTTTCCAGAGGAGGGAGACCGCAGGGAGGCAGAGGGTTGGCAGAAGGCCCCTGGGCGCCACCTGGCTGGGCCGTGGTCCCCGCACGGCGATTCCTCGCCCACTTGTGTCAGGAGGAGGTGGCACCGCACCAGCTCTCAAGGCCAGTCTCTCCGAGCCCAGGGTTACGTCGTTAAGCTCACGCTGTCCCAGAACACATTTTTAGTGACAATAATGTGTTCCTTGCATTTCAAAATACAAGTTTCTTGTTAGAAGTTCATGCAGCAAACATGACTCGTGCTTGTGAGTCGGGCTTTGCGTCTGAGCACACGTCGGTAAAGACAGACACGGTTCTGCAGGGCCATCGTGTAGTCCACACGGGGGGAGAGAAGAACTGAGTACCAGGGCACCACTTGGTTGTCTACTATTGTTTTGAGAGGGCCTGTGAGGGAGGGGAGGGACGGGGGCATTCTCAGGCAGACCCCGCTGAGCCCTGAGCCTGCCGCGGGGCTCACAGCCTGAGTGAGATCAAGAGTTGGAGGCTCAGCCCAACTCTGCCACCAAGGCGTCCCTGTCCCTTTTACTTCAGACAGAGCTACAGTTTTCTTACTCATCCTGGGAGGCAAGAGGAAATTGGGGCTCTCCTAAAGTCTCACTGTAAAGACCAGCATTTACGGTGTGAAAATTGTCTCATCCAGTTGGGGTCGCTGAGTGCCCGCATACGTAAAATAGAAGCGATGTATCTTGATCACTTTTAGGAGGATGTGGTTTTGGTGTCAGTCTCTGCTCTAACTGGGAGGTTTGGAGGTTCCAGGAACCAGAACCCATTGGCTGAAGAATCCACGTCGAGCCAGAAAGGCACCCGGGCAGGCGCTGGCTTGGCTGCTGGTGCCGCAGGAGGCAGATGTGCGCTTGGTTACGCCGGAACGTAAATACCGTTCCCTGTAAGTTCCAGTGCCGCAAGGAGCGCTGCTGCCCAGGGGCCCCGGGGACGTGGCGGGAGCCATCTCGCGCAGAGGCTGTTTGGACCAGTGCCGCACGGTGCACGTCACCGCACAGCCGCCTTCTCTTTCACCCGGAAACGCGGGAATTGGCAGTGGCAGGGGAGGACCTGCCTCTCCACCTGAGACCACAGAACCACAGGCTTCGTCTGACATGAGCTCTCTGGTCCCTGACCCAGCTCCCTCTTGGGTGGTCCCTTGGCTTGGTTTGTGAGTGTGCCTCTCTGGCCACCCCTGCTGCCCTTGGCCCTCCCGTGGGGCAGCTGGACTGGCCGCTGATGGATGCAGATGGCAGTGGTGCCCAGAGCACAGCCATGCCAGCGTTCCTTATAAGTAAGCCCTTCTCCCTAGATGCTCCTCAGTTTTCCCAGGTCCCCATCCCCTCCTTGCTTGGAGACAAACAAGTAAATGACCTGAACTTGGGCCTCGAAGGGCCCTGTCTACGTTTCCAGGCTCACGTTCCACCTCTAACGCTGCATCCCAGCTGCTGCCGCTGCCCTTGCCTTGTCCTCTCCGGCATCTTCATCTCGCACACGCCGCCTTTCTAGCCTGGCCCATTCCCCGCCCCCCTCGGGGCCTCCTGCCCCCTTTGGGCAGCCTAATTCCTTCGAGACTTGGGTAGGAATCCCATCCAGAAGTTGCGCTCTGGAGCCAGACAGGGTGAGTCTCAGCTTGGCCGCTTGCTTCCCGTGTAGCTTACAGTCTTTCTGACTCATTTCTTAGAGTCACTCTGTCTTCCCGAGTCTTCCTTTCATTAACTGTGTCTTCATTCGGGGGTTAGAGTTGGACGTAAGGAGTGAGGAGTACCTTATAAGTGAACTGACATACTTTGCTTCTGCTAGAACTCAGAGTGGGGGTTTAGATCGATGAGATAGAAGGCAAAGGAGATCGAGACTTGTATCTTTTTTTTTTTCTTTTTTAAGATTTTCATTTATTTGACAGACACAGCGAGAGAGGAAACACAAGTGGGGGGAGTGGGAGAGGGAGAAGCAGGCTTCCCGCCAAGCAGGGAGCCTGATGCGGGGCTCGATCCCAGGACCCTGGGATATGACTTGAGCCGAAGGCAGAGGCTTAATGACTGAGCCCCCAGGTGCTCCAAGACTTTTCTTAGTCGCCTTCTGATTGTGGAATGTCCATTGCTGTGAGTCCTTATGTTTTTAGAGTTTTTTGCGCACAGCAGTTTGTTGTGGCTCCCGGATTTGCCTCAAGCCCTAAAACCTCGCCCAGTGCTTCATGCGTCCCGAGTGCTGTTGACGGATGCGTGAGGCAAGAGAACTTTGAAGTTTGCTGTAGTTTACGTCGTGACTCGGGAAGTCCATTGTGTCGCGGGCGGGACTTCAGGTCCACACACGATACTGGGAAGTCAGTGAAAACCAGGCAGTAGCCAAAGTTCCCATCCTCGGGTGCTTGTGTGCTGAGGCTGACAGACCCTGGAAATGCAGTTTGAGGCCTCTGGGAGGGGCAGGGAAGAGGACGCCTGAATTTGCAAAGTGGCAAAGCGAATCCGTGGGACACAGATGCCAGAGTCATCTTGGAGGGAAAGTTTTGGGGACTGTGAAGTGGACGGCAGTAATAATTTGTAAATTATTACTAATCTTTTGCGATTCTTGGTTTCTGGAGAATTATCAGTAAAGCAAAACAAAACGAGATTTTTTGCATACAATAAAAAGGACAAATTTACGATTTTACTTTTCTCTAAAGTACATAATTTATAGCCCTGCCCATCTGATTTTTAGACTAACTGAATATTTACATGGCGATTCCCTAAGTTAATATTTACTCACTGTTACTGGTATCTGTTTTGCGCATCAGTCAACAGAGCAAGACATTGAAGGGATAAAAACGGGTCAGGGCTACTGCCTGACCACTTTGTGTATTTATACACACTGACTGTTTTATAGTCTGAACTTCTGTGCTGCAGTTTCTGTTGTATTTTCAAATAAAATCAGAATACAGTTGATGAGTTAACCCGGAAAGTAAAACTGGGTTCTGGTGACCTACCAGCACGTTCCCACTGTTGGCACAGGAGACCAGAGTTTCAGGACGGGCTCAGCCACACGAAGGTGCTGCTTTAGGGCTTTCAGGACACAGTGTGTAGACCACAGCGCATGGCGGCGTCAGAGCCCTCGGGCAGAGAGCCGGGGCATGACGGTGTTCAGGGTCTCTCCCGGCCAGCGCTGGGGCCGAAAGCAGTCCTTGTGAGATGCCAGCTTTGTTTGGTGTTGGTAGCTTAATTTTCAGTGTTAACTATTAGTTAATAGTTCCAAAGCAGAGAGGAGGGTTGTAGCGACCCCTCTGAGCCTCTCGCTCAGGTCCAGCAGTCCCTAGTACCTTTCAGTCTTCCGTCAGCTGGCCCCAGACATGTTTTACGCTGCAGTATTTAAAGCAAATCCCAGATACCACTTCATTTCATCTGCAAATTATATTCAGAATTTTAGAATTAGTTTTATATGCATTTCCTGGGGCTGTAGTAACAGAGCCCACAAACTGGGCAGAGAAACGAATAGAAGTCTGTCATCACAGTCTGGGGGGCCGAGAGTCCCAAGCCAGGGTGTCCGCAGGTGCAGCCTCTGAAACCTTCTAGGGAGACCGCCTGGCGCATCTTCCTGCTCTGGGGTTGTCTGCCGTCTTCGGTGCCCTTGTCTTGTGGGTGTCTCCCGCCCTAAAAGTCAGCCATAGCCCCTTCTCTGAACGACACCGTCTGGAATGGCCAGTCTGATCCTAGCAACGACCTCTGTAAGGACCCTTTGCCGAACAAGGCCCCATTCTAAGCACTGGGGGTTAGGACTGCAGCGCGTCTCTTTCTGGGGGGAGGTAACTCAGCCCATAACATACAGGGTTGTCTAGCTTCCCGGAAGGCACCGAGACAGCACTTATAAGTGTTTAAAATGTCATATGCTTTGTTGTAGAGATTACATTTTAGGAGTTTATCTTTGGAAGTAATGAAATATGTACACAAACTTAAGGGTAGCAATGTTCACAGGTGAATAATTGGTATTGATGAAAAAAATCTGAATTATTGTCATGAAAAATCGGAACATAATAGAAAACGTAAAATAATGACCTAACCGTTTGATAGAGCAATTATGTAGGTGTAAAAATTGTGTTTGGGGAAAATGTATAATTTGTGTAAGAGACTGTCCATAATTAAAACAGGATATAAGGTACTGTGGTATGACCACATTTTACTTAAACAGCATAGACACGTGTATGTGTGTAACAGAAAAAGTGGTAAAGAATTTACTAAAAATCTATTTGTGGCAATTAACTCTGGTCGTTGGGATTGGAGGTGATTCCATTTATTTATTTATTTAGTGATTCTGTTTTATGGACCATTTTCTGAGTTTTCTAAATTCTCCGATGCACTCAGAATCAGGGAGAAAGAGGAAGGTGTGTGTTGCGTGCAGCACCGCTCACGGTGCTGGGCTCTTAGCACCGGTGGGTGTGCGGGGCCACGCGGTAGGAGCGCCCGGCCGACGTCTCAAGGCCTGTTTTCCCGCCGCTCTTGGCGGTGCGCACGCACTGTCGGGAGAAGCTGGTGTAGGTGGTTGTCGCCGCAGGGGTGGCGCGACCTGCTTTTTCCGGAAGGGGTGCAGGGTGGGACCCAGGGGTCGGCGCCCGTGTGTCGGCGTTACTGCGGAACGACGTGGGGGAGTTGGTTTGGAAATTGTCCTCTTCCACACAGATTCTTGTGCTTGCTTTTCAGTGTGCTTTTGCAGAACAAAAAATAGATGTGTTACTTTATAGGGCTTTTTCAATCTCTTACTTTTAGGTTAAAAATTTCACAGTTATCTATCTTGTGGATATCACAGAAGTGCCTGACTTCAACAAGATGTACGAGTTGTACGACCCGTGTACTGTCATGTTTTTCTTCAGGTACGTTCTCTTAAAGCTCTTGTCTCAGTTGGTTATTGTTGGTCCGGAAGTTTGATGTAGTCCAGATGGCGTCACATCCGATGGCATTTCTGTAATAAAGTTGGGTAACGTGACTCAAAAAAAAAGTTGTGGAGATTTAATTTGGAAAGAAATCACCATTTGGCATTGTTTCTACTTGTCAAAATTTCTGTTTATTGTTAGTAGAAAGGCTGGTAAATGGCAGTATTAAGTCTTGGACATCCCCGGTGCCTGACAGGTGAGGGATGTCTGGGTGGTTGTATGGGGCGGGTATTGGCTTATATCCTGTGCAACAGGTAACGCCATGTGAGTAGCTAAAAGCCACATTGATGAGCTCAGTGTTCTGTTGCTCCAAGTTTGGGCCGGCTCAGTGGGTTTCCTCTCGGGGTCTCACGAGGCCACAGTCACGGGCTGGGCCTTTTTGGGGCCGTCAGTCGGGGAAGAAGCCACTGGCTCATTGGGTTGTTGGCCGAATCCCATTCCCTGTGGTCACGGGCTGGGGCCGCTGACTCCTGGCCGCTGTGTGCCGGGCGCTCCCTGCTGCCTGAGGCCCTTCAGCCTGCAGAGCCTGCACCTGTTCTGCTTCCCCGAGGCTGTGACCGGAATGGACCCCCAAATAATCCAGGATTATCTCCTTACTTTACAGTCACTTGATGAGTAACCGTTGGGGCATCTGCCAGTCTCCGTTGTCCGTAGAGTCACTGGTGGCTGGCGTCTCATCGCAGCACAGTCCCAGGGATGAGGGCAGGAACTTTGCAGGGTTGAGTTTAGGGTTTTGTCTTCTGCCCTCTGCCCTCCGGCTCCAAAGACTCACGCCCTTTGGGTGTACAAAAGCAGGTATGCATGAGGCTGCTTAGGCTGGTGGACACCCCTTACCTGCGGCCCCAGCTCTGCCAGCACACATCATGGGACAGCATTGCAGACAGGTCTGGTTTCTCAGGGGGATGTGAGGAGGAAGGGGCTGGCTCCCCAGTGGGAAGGTCTGCCCAGGCTTTCCTGCCTTTTCTGGGAAAGGCGTGTGCAGCCAGGCCATTTTCCGCCGACTTCAACAGGTAGCATCTGGGGTTCTCCCGCCTCCTTTCTCTGCACCGTCGTCCTCTGCAGCCCGAGTGCCTGTCCTGGCGCCCGTGAAGACCCAGGAGGCGCCGCTCCTCACTTGCGACTGAACGTTCCGCCTGGGCTGCCGCTCCAGGTCGTGGGCCTCTTCCGTGCCCCCCGCGCCCTTCTGCGTGGCAGTGTCTTCTGCCGTCTGGAGGGGCCAAGAACTCCTTCTCTCTTTCCGCGGCTCTAACCCCGCCTCATCTGCCATCACCGTCCGCAGCAGGGAGAAAGCATGTGGCCGCTCCAGGGCTCAGCAGCTCCTCAGGTGCACATCCAGGCGCATCCGGATGACTTCGCAGGACCGTGTCCCCGAGGAACAGGGGCCCTTCCCTCCACCCCGGCGGTGTGCTCCTTCCTTCCTCCAGCACCTGCCCCGGCCATGCTCCTCCAGTCTGCGAGTCCACGAACAGGCTCTTCAAGGCAGTCCGGGCCTTTCCTGTCGTGCTGCTCCCAGTGCTCCCCACACCCTTAGGGTGCAACTCATGAGGGCCATCTTGGGGCCAGCCTCCCGCCGCCAGTGGCTGGCCCGACCAAGGCACAGAGGACGCTATGGCGGACGGGGCCGCAGAGAGGAGGATGGTGGGGTGGATGCCGGGGCGCTGGACTGAAGAGAAGACGAAGTGCCTTCCGCTCTTTCTGCGACGCCGGAATCCAAGACGGGGCGCCTCTCTGCTTGAGTTAATGTTTTCACCAAGTGCATGTACTGAGTCCTGCCAGGTTTCGTGCTCTAGTGCCCGGACGTTAAGTCAGACAAAATGGTCCTGCTGTCACCGGGCTTTGCGGATTGGCAGCAGCGGAGTAGATGAGCGAAGGCGAGCAGGTGTTTGTAGAGACACAAGTGCCGGGTCGGGGTGGCGGGGAGCTGAAGGACAGACGGAGAAAGTCTAGAATGAGCTCGTGCCTTTGCGGGGGCGGGCACGCAGGCGCGGATGGTCCGGCCATGGTGGGGAGACTGTAAGAGGCTGACAGGTGATGGGACAGGGAGGGACAGGGTCCAGGGTCCAGATTCCTGGGCCCGAGTGCAGATGTGGAGAGTTACCCTGGAAGTAGATGTTTGCAGCAAAGCAGAAACGTTGCGTCTGCCTTTTGGATGCTCCCTGTGGTTGGACAGACGGAGACTTGATGTGCCGCTCTTCATTCCTGTAGAAGTGAAAACTTGAATAAATGAAAACTATCTCCAACAAACTTGGAGAGATCAGTGTACCAATGACAACAAGGGTTAGTATCTCTGTAAAGTGCACATATCAATTCATTTTTGAAAGTAGCCTCTTAAAAATAAATCTGTAAAGTATCACCTGCTTCCCTAATTATAGAAATGCAGACATACTAATTTCACAATTAGGACTTTGGATAAAGTGTACGCTAGGGTCAGGGTATTGTGTTTCCTAGGTAAATCGGTACAGCCCTTTGGGAAACAGTGTCACTTTCCAAGTGACTCACACTGTGTCCTGTAGGACATTTGTCCCGAGGGAGTGGCTTAGCCATGCAGCGGGAGCTTGTGCCCTGCATGGTGTGTGCTTTTACATTAGTGTTCAACTGGTTCTCGTCTTCTAAATCGCAGTAGAGCCTCCTGACTGTGTGTGTTTTTGTCTTAACTGATTTTTTTTTTTTAAAGATTTTATTTATTTGACAGAGAGGATGACAAGTAGGCAGAGAGGCAGGCAGAGAGAGCAGGGGAAGCAGGCTCCCCGTTGAGCAGAGAGCCCGATGCGGGGCTCGATCCCAGGACCCTGAGATCATGACCTGAGCCGAAGGCAGAGGCTTAACCCACTGAGCCCCCCAGGCGCCCTTAACTGATGTTTAACAAGAGCTTGTGATGGTGGGAAACAGAAGGCATGGAACATGGAACTCTTAGGAGACTGTGAACACTGACCCGTCTCCTCTTTGCAGGAACAAACACATCATGATCGACCTGGGTACGGGTAACAACAACAAGATCAACTGGGCCATGGAAGACAAACAGGAAATGATAGACATCATCGAGACTGTGTACCGGGGCGCCCGGAAAGGCCGCGGCCTGGTCGTTTCTCCAAAGGATTACTCCACAAAGTACAGATACTGAGCTCTGCCTGGTCTCTGTGCACAGGAGTGGCGTGGAGTTGTTTTCATGTGGAAATATTGGAAACTATTTAAAGCCTTAGCGCAAGCGTTTGGAAGAGAATATGAAGATCACAGGGTTGGTCGGAGGGTTGTTTCTGTAGGGGTTGCATGGCCTCAACTCTCCACCTGCCTGGCTGTTGTATTTTTTTTTTTTTTTAAGATTTTGTTTATTTAGTTGACCCAGGGGGAGAGAGAGAGATCACAAGCAGGCAGAGAGAGGGGGAAGCAGGCTCCCTGACGAGCAGAGAGCCCGATGTGGGGCTCCATCCCAGGATCCTGGGATTATGACCCGAGCCGAAGACAGGCACTTAACCCACTGAGCCACCCTGGCACCCCTGGCCGTTGTATTTTTATATTAGCAAATATCTGTAAATATCTAGCTGAAATAGATAAGATACTCAGTGATGGGGAAGTTGTAATTGCTTGTTCCTTACAAATTGCCATGCAGGGGCGCTGGGGGACTCAGTGGGTTGAGCCTCTGCCTTCGGCTCAGGTCATGATCTCAGGGTCCTGGGATCGAGTCCCGCATCGGGCTCTCTGCTCAGCGGGGAGCCCGCTTCCTCCTCTCTCTGCCTGCCTCTCTGCCTACTTGTGATCTTTGTCAAATAAATAAATAAAATCTTTTAAAAACAATTGCCGTGCAGGTTATTGATTTTGGCAGAGTTACTGGACTTCTTTCCCATCGGAGTGGAATTCAAGTGTATGTTCTGTGGGACCCTGTGTTTGCTGCGCCCTGTGGGGGGAGGGAGGGGGGGTGCCTGTGAGTCTCCCAGGGCTGCCATAGCAAAGTAGCCCAGACAGGAGTGACAGTGGACATGAGCAGTCTTCCAAATCTGAAGGCAAGAACTCTAGATCCAGAGGTGGTCAGGGCTGGGTCCTCTGGGGCTGTGCTGGAGAATCTGTCCCCTGCCCCTCTCCCAGACCCTGCTGCTTTCTGGTGATCGTTGCCTGCTTCGGCTGATGCTTCCCCCGATCTTGGCCTTCATCTTCACGTGGCCTTCTCCCGTGTGTGTGTCTGTGTCCACATTTCCTCTTCTTATAAGAACACTGGTCACTGGAGAGGGCCATCCTGTCTCCAAATAAGGTCACATTGTACTGGGGATTGGAACTCCCAAGGTAGGCAGGGTGCGCCTGGGCAGCTCTGTTGATGTGAATTGTCTGCCTTCGGCTCTGGTTGTGATCTCAGGGTCCTGGGATCAAGCCCTGCATCAGGCTCCCTGCTCAGCAGGAGCCTGCTTCTCCCTCTCCCTCTCCCTCTGCCCCTCCCCCTGCTTGTGCTTTCTCTGTCAAATAAATAAAATCTGCTTAAAAAACTCCTGACATGGGAATTTATGAGGAGGCACAATTCAACCCACAGCAGAATCCGAAGGCTTGAGTTCAGAAAGAATACACTTGAGGAAGAAAGTGTCTTTTATTCTGGTTATAAAAACAGTGCAATAAGATAATGATTCTAGGAGTCCTCCTTTTAAATACGAAGAGTAAGTTGTTCCTCCTTCCTCTGAAGATGGAACCTCATGTACTCAAGCAGGCTGCATCTTCTGTGGAAATCGCGGTCCTGCCGCACGTGCAGCTGGTGTCCTCTTCTCAGGCTTGCGCCTCTCCTGCCCCACAGCTCGGCGGTGGGTGGGCGGTCGGGAACTTCCCCGGCACATCTCGTCCATACAAGCTCTGCTGTGACAACTCCGTTTTCTCTCAGGTGAGGAGGTGGCGGTGTCTGCTGTCCCGCGTGTGTCTCAGAATAGAGCCTGGTGGGCCTCAGTGTGCGAAAGCCATGGCCAGATTGACCGTGCTTGAGACACGAGTGCAGACCAGCACATGCACACGAGGCGCGCTTGAAGTAGATCTAAAACTCCAAAGCAGATTTACTGCATTGCTCCAGCCTTAATTTCCCACCTATGAAAGAGGGAGTACAGTGCCCTGACAGATGAGGGGTGAGTGGAAAACTCATCGTGACCCCAGGTACCTGGCACATAACAGACTTTCAGTGTTCTACTTCTGATGTTTCTCCAAGAGAGAACAGCCGAGGACCCCATGACAAACTCACTGGTTTTGGGCATCAAGGAAATGCAAATCAGAACCTGCAGATGCCACTTCCCACCCATTGGAGCGGTGTGACTAGATCCAAAGGGTCTGATTTTATTTTTTTTTTAAGATTTTATTTATTTATTTGACAGAGAGGGGGAAGCAGGCTCCCTGCCGAGCAGAGAGCCTGATGCGGGGCTCGATCCCAGGACCCTGAGATCACAACCTGAGCTGAAGGCAGAGGCTTTACCCACTGAGCCACCTGGCGCCCCTGAAGGGTCTGATTATTGAAAGAGTCAAAGACACGGAGAAACTGGATCACTCAGACCCTGCTCAGGGAGAGGAGTACGGGCAACCCTTTGGAAAATGAGGAGATAACTTGCATGTCCGTCAGCTGCAGAATGGGTAAACAAAATGTCCATCTGTACAATGGGATGTTATTTGGTGCTAAGACATGAAGTACTGATGTACAGTATGTTGAACCTTGAAAACATGAGGGTAAGTGAGAGACTAGGCACCACATATCGTATGATTCCCATTTTTATGAAATGCCTGGAATAAGCAATTCATAGGGACAGAAAGTAAATTAGTGGTTAGGGGGAGGGGGACAGAGGGAGGTGATAGCTGATGGGTATGGGGTTTCTTCCTGAGATAATGAAAACGTTCTAAGACTGGTTATGGTGATGGTGGCACACATCTGTAGATATACCAAAAACCACTGAATTGTGTTAATTGGTTAATTGTGTAGCATGTGAATTACATCTTATTGATAAAGCTTTATTAGCTGCCGAAAAATAAGCAAAGAAAATTAATCCCACATTTGTAAACTTACCCTGTAGTAGTGCTGTAAATGTGTTGTTTTTATAAGTTTATGTCTTATTTTGTACCTACTGTCTACCTCAGCCTGAACTAAGTGATTTACAAGCCATTTTCTCTAATCCTTCCAACCACCTGCCAGTAGCTAGTGTGCAGAGAAGGAAAGTAAAGGTTAGGTTGCTCAGAGTCCCGTCTCATCCAGAGGATGTGGTTTCAAGGCTGGATCTGTGCGGCTACCGGACCTGCCTCATTGCTGCACGCATTGCTTTATTCGAGTGGAAATTAACTAGTGCAGAAGGTGCACCAGTACCCCCGGTTCCCTGACCACTGAATGATTTCTGCTTCTCCTCCTCCCCAGGGCAGCTTGTGCAAAGTCCAGGAGCAGCTTGGCAGCTTACACAGAGGCAACAAGCCTAGAAGGTACGGCATATATTCAGGGGGGCAGTAAGTAATCAAGTACCCCGAGAAAACGGACACATAGGAGATAGGAAAGACTTCATTGCAGCATGACTGGAAACAGTCAAATGGAAAACAGAACTCAAAGGGTTACCACACAGCTATCAGCGACTGAAGCAGAGCTACACACACCAGCGTAGACAACTGTCCCGAAACAGCGCCGCTAGGTATGGCAGGCACCACGGCATGACGGCATCTACTTACAGTTTTCAGACATTTGAAACACAGCTCTGCAACATCGAAATAACCAGAAACCGCGTATGTTTGCAGATGATTGTTCTGTGTGGGTTCCTGGGGTAGACTGCCTCTTTCCTACTATTGTGAGCAGAGAAGCAAGGCGTTGGGGTCACTGATGGAGTCAAAACTACAACAACCCTAAAAACTGTCCCTGGATTTTAACAAAAACTGGAGTTTGGTTCCTCGGGTGGCTCAGTTAAAACGTAGGATACCGAGGCACCTTGGGGGGCTCAGTGGGCAAAGCATCTGTCTTCGGCTCAGGTCATGATCCTGGGGTCCTGGGATGGAGCTCCACGTCGGGCTCCCTGCTCAGAGGGGAGTCTGCTTCTCCCTCTGCCTCTGCCTGCAGCTGCCCCCACTTGTGCCCTGTCTCTCTCTCTCTCTCTGTCTGTGTCAAATAAATAAAAAAGAGGAATAAAATACAGGATGTGTCCATGGCCTCACCAGGTTTCTGATCTGAAAGTTGAGGTGCTAGTTGGGAAAGTCTGATATCTTGAAAATCAGAATGGGGAACTTTGGGAGAACTCACTTATATGGTTGCCATTTTGAATAGTTTTTCTACATCATCTTTACTAAAGGCTTTTAAAATACATCTAGTTTTAGTATTCTTTTGTGGCATTTTTACATTTATCATCAAAAGCTATACAAGGAACACTAATGGCTTCTTAATGAGACTTGTACTGTCTTGCACACTGTGTTGGGGTGACATCCCACTAGTCTCCCCAACCACAGCTATAACCCCATCCTCCAACTGGGCTTTGATTTTCTTGTTTAGTAGAGTAGTTAAGCTCTCACACATCTCCATGGACAAAAAGCACCATATAAAGGATTGCAAAATTATTTTGAAACTCTAGCAATTCAATTATTAATTTATTTAAAAAAATTTAAGTAGTTCCTGGACCCGAGGACTGAGCAAAATCAGTCTGGTTGCTTGCTGCCTTGTGAAGATAACCAAGTGATCATGTAAAAAGTGAAATTACGACTGTGATAGTCAACAGCAGAGTGCCAGGAGATCATATACCGAGTAGATCTGACCCAGATGGGGATTCAGGGAGAGAATCTCTGAGGAGATTATTTTCAAGCTGATATCAGATATTAAAAAGCTAACTATGTGGGTGTAGGGGTAATTGCATTCCAGAAGGGGACCTGCAGGAACAAAGGCCCATGGTGGGAGGGAGGCGGGCTCATCTGAGAACTGTGGTGGCTTAGGTGGAGTGGGCACAGGTGGGACCCTTTGCCTTGGGAACCAGGTGTAACGTGATCAGATTTTAGTTCTGAGATCTTTCTGTCCCCTTGGAAGAGCTAAAAGGGGATTGGGAAGAGAGTTGAAAGTCTATGGTGATAGATCAGGCAAGAGACTGTAAAGAACGGAAATTAAACATGAGAATTTAAAACTTCACACAACTGCTTCTAGAGCTGCTGACTGACAGATTTAGGCCTTTATTATTAAACTTGAGGTTTTCATAAGTCCCTAATTTTGAGGTAAATGAGTTTTAAGTTACAAGCTTATGAATATAACATTTGATACTGAATTCACAACATTTACTTAAGTATTCTGTGAGTAAATTGCTTGCTGCTAAAAGTCATGTTTGTCTAGTTTATGTTTGAATAAGTGTGTTTAAGCACATTTAACTTCATCTACTACTTTCCCCCTTTTCCTTATGGAAGCATTTTGACTTCATTTAAATATATGTAACATGGAACTGGAAAATACCAATCCTTTGGGAATATGTTAGGGAACTAGATGAGAAAAACATGCAGCCAAGAATATTATATCCAGCTAGGTTGTCTTTGAAAGTAGAAGGAGAGAGAAATTTCCAGGACAAACATAAACTAAAAGAATTTGCGATCACCAAACCAGCCCCACCAGAGTTCCTGAAAGGGGTCCTCTAAGCAAAGAGAGAGCCTAAAAGTAACATAGACCAGAAAGAAACAGAGAGAATACACAGTAACAGTCACTTTACAGGCAATACAGTGTCACTAAATTCATATCTTTTGGAGTTACCCTGAACATAAATGGCCCAAATGCCCCAATCAAAAGACACAGGGTATCAGATTGGATAAAAAACAAGACCCATCGAGGGGCACCTGGATGGCTCAGTGGATTAAGCCTCTGCCCTCGGCTCATATCAGGATCTCAGGGTCCTGGGATTGAGCCCCGCATCGGGCTCTCTGCTCATCAGGGAGCCTGCTTCCCCCTCTCTCTCTCCTCCTGCCTCTCTGCCTACTTGTGATCTCTCTCTCTCTCTCTCTCTCTCTCTCTCTGTCAAATAAATAAATCTTAAAGAAAAACAAAAACACCCATCGATATGCTGTCTACAAGAGACTCGTTTTAGGCAGAAAGACACCTCCAGATTGAAAATGAGGGGAGTAGAAAGCAGTTTATCATGCTAATGGATATCAAAAGAAAGCTGGGGGGCACCTGGGTGGCTCAGTTGTTAAGCTTCTGCCTTCGGCTCAGGTCATGATCCCAGGGTCGTGAGATTGAGCCCTGCATTGGGCTCCCTGCTCGGCAGGAAGCCTGCTTCTCCCTCTCTCACTCCCCCTGCTTCTGTTCCCTCTCTTGCTGTGTCTCTCTCTGTCAAATAAATAAATAAAATATTAAAAAAAAAAAAAAAAGAAAGCTGGGGTGGCAATCTTTCTATTAGACAAATTAGATTTTCAACCAAAGACTGTAAAAAGAGATGAAGGACACTATATCATAGTTAAAGGGTCTATCCAACAAGAATGTCTAACAATTGTAAATATTTGTGCCCCTAACATGGGAGGAGCCAATTATATAAACCAATTAATAACAAAATCAAAGAAACACACTGACAATAATACAATAGTATGGACATTAACACACCCTTCACTGCAATGGACAGATCATCTAAGCTAAGGATCTATAAGGAAAAAAGGGCCCTGAATGACACACTGGACCAGATGGGACATCACAGATACATTCAGAACATTCCATCCCGAAATACACATTCTTCTCTTCTGCACATGGAACATTCTCCAGAGTAGATCACATCCTGGTTCCCAAATCAGGTCTCAACTGGTACCAAAAGATTGGGATCATTCCCTGCATATTTTCAGACCACAATGCTCTGAAGCTAGAACTCAGTCACAAGAGGAAAGTTGGAAAGAACCCTAATACATGGAGGCTAAAAAGCATCCTTCTAAAGAATGAGTGGGTCGGGACCCCTGGGTGGCTCAGTGGATTAAGCCTCTGCCTTCAGCTCAGGTCATGATCTCAGGGTCCTGGGATCAAACCCCACATCAGCTCTCTGCTCAGTGGGGAACCTGCTTCCTCCTCTCTCTCTGCCTGCCTCTCTGCCTACTTTTGATCTCTGTTGGTCAAATAAATAAATAAAATCTTTAAAAAAAATAATGGGTCAACCAGGAAATTAAAGAAGAATTGAAAAAAATTCATGGAAACAAATAATGAAAACACAACGGTTCAAAATCTGTGGGATGCAACAAAGGCAGTCCTGAGAGGAAAGTATATAGTGATACAAGCCTTTCTCAAAAAACAGGAAAGGTCTCAAATACACAACCTAACCCTACACCTAAAGGAGCTGGAGAAAGAACAGCAAAGAAAGCCAAACCTAGCAGGAGAAGAGAAATAAAGATCAGAGCAGAAATCAATGAAATAGAAACCAAAAGAACAGTATCAACGAAATCAGACCAACAGATCAGTTGATCAACAGATCAACGAAACTAGGAGCTAGTTCTTTGAAAGAATTAATAAGACTGATAAATCCCTGGCCAGACTTATCAAAAAGAAGAGAGAAAGGACTTAAATTAATAAAATCATGAATGAAAGAGGAGAGATCACAACCAACACCAAAGAAATACAAACAATTACAAGAACATTTTATGAGCAACTATATGCCAACAAATTAAGTAATCTGGAAGAAATGGATGCATTCCTAGAAACCTGCAAACTACAAAACTGAACCAGGAATGAAGAACTAGAAAACCTGAACGGAGCCATAACCAACAAGAAAATTGAAGCAGTCATCAAAAATCTTCAAAGAAACAAGAGCCCAGGGCCAGATGGCTTCCCGGGGGAATTCTACCAAACATTTAAAGAAGAATTAATACCTATTCTTCTAAAACTGTTCCAAAAAATAAAAATGGAAGGAAAGTTTCCAGACTCATTTTATGAGGCGAGCATTACCTTGATCCCCAAACCAGACAAAGACCCCATCAAAAAGGAAAGTTACAGACCAATATCCCTGATGTACATGGATGCAAAAATTCTCACCAAAATACTAGCCAATAGGATCCAACAGTACATTAAAAGGATTATTCACCACGACCAAGTGGGATTTATTCCAGGGCTGCAAGGTTGGTTCAACATCTGCAAATCAATCCATGTGATACAATACATTAATAAAAGAAAGAACAAGAACGATAGGATCCTTTCAATAGATGCAGAAAAAGCATCTGACAAATTACAGTATCATTTCTTAATCAAAACTCTTCACAGTGCAGGGAAAGAGGAAACATACCTCAATATCATTGAAGCCATCTATGAAAAACCCACTGTGAATATCACTCTCAACGGGGAAAAACTGAGAGCTTTTCCCCTAAGGTCAGGAACATGGCAGGAATATTTACTATCACCACTGCTATTCAACATAGTACTAGAAATCCTAGCTTTGGCAATCAGACAACAAAAAGAAATGAAGGCATCCAAATGGGCAAAGAAGAAGTCAAACTCTCACTCTTTACAGATGATACGATACTGTGGAAAACCCAAAAGACTCCACTCCAAATCTGCTAGAACTCATACAGGAATTCAGTAAAGTGGCAGGATTTAAAATCAATGTAGGAAATCAGTTGCATTTCTTTACACAACAAGACAGAAGAAAGAGTAATTAAGGAGTCGATCCCATTTACAATGGCACCCAAAACTGTAAGATAACTAGGAATAAACCTAACCAAAGAGGCAAAGAATCTGTACTCAGAAAACTATAGAATATTCATGAAAGAAATTGAGGAAGACACAAAGAAATGAAAAACCATTCCATGCTCATGGATTGGAAGAATAAATGTTGTTAAAATGTCTAATGTACCTAGAGCAATGTATACATTTAATGCAATCCCTATCAAAATACCATCAATTTTTTCCCACAGAAATGGAACAAATAATCCTAAAATATGTAGGGAACCAAAAACGACCCCGAATAGCCAGACGCATGTTGATTTAAAAAAAAAAAAAGCAAAGCTGGGAGCATCACAATTCTGGACTTCAAGCTCTA